GGACTTCTGATAAAGCGTGTGGCTAAGCCGGTACAATGGCAGAGCCTACGAATGAGCTCTTACATTAAGACAGATTCTTCCCCACAAAACTAGCAGGCAGGCTGCTGATAAGGAGTTGTCATTGGCAGACACACTGCCCACCAGGGAGAAACCCACATCCAAACCCACCCGCCTTTTCCTCCCATCACAGACCAGACGAATTACACCATGATCTCCACACCAATAGGGGTCACTGCTTTGAGATCTAACAAGGTGTAAGTATTTGACTTGAAAAGAAAGTTAAAGAGCAGCTAAAAGTGTTTTGCCTCTTAATATGGTGATACGAGTCACATCAACACCTAAAGAAAGCCATTAAAAAAAGACCTGAGCAGCTGTCAAACTGTGCTCAATTACACTTTTTTTCCTGGTTGTGATGAAATACTTTTAGAGTTGTTTAACTAATTGTTCATGCTGTAAAGTCAATAAAAACAAAAAACGCAAGAGCATAAAAATCAATTTTGTGGTTCATCTCCCATTACCTCAAAAATCACACCCTCTAACAGTCAACACACAGACTCAATAAATAGCTCGCTCTCAATCCTCACTTAAAACGCCTGGAAGCAAAACAGATGCCTTCTCAGTTTCAGGTGATTATATTTATTAATTAAAAAAATACAAGACAGTTTATTTAAATATAGCATTATCTCAGGAAAATGTTTTACAGAAAGAAAAAAAAACTCAGTTACTACAACAGAAAAGTCAATGGAAAAACAACCTAAAAATAAATTGAATCTATTATTCTAAACGAACCATCATTTGAAAATATGCAACAGATGCAACAAAGTGATTGGTTCACAAAAACTGGAAACAGCACACGAATCAAAGCACGAAATGAAAAACACAAATGCGGATCTATAAGAATGCTGGGGGATCTCGTTCCCTGATCTCTTCATCTGCGCAGCCCTATGGTAACTCACTTCAACATTTTACAACAGTCCACTGACCAATGAAACTTCACCGCCGTAGCCAAAAGCCTAGGTGACAATAAAAAGGCCATTTAATGCTAAAACCAGATGGTGTCAGAAAAGAAGGAAAAAATATGATGAAACCTGTACTACTACATTAACACACACCAAAACGATCAACATAATACAGTTTCATTGTCTCCTTCCTAATATTCTTACGAGTAACCTTGCAGCCCATGAAAAAAAAAAAGTGTAAGATAAGCATTTCAAATAATATCGCTGAAATCAAAAAACTGAAAACCTCAGCCGCTTACAGTCGGACAAATGCAGAGCTGAAAATTTTCACATAAGAAACTATGAAATGACCAAAATAATTATAACCATTTTTAATTGCCTCTTTGCCATCAAAAAAAATTAATACTTGCAGTCATGCTGTGCATCTATGTATGAAAAATTCTTCCTTCCCACAGTCCCTTACTTGTTCAAATTCACCACTCAAAATTTACATTCAAAACAGCAAGTAATTACTCAATTCCCAATCGAAATCCTTGGGAAAGGATACATATATCTGCAGGAAGAGCTGAATACATTTCTGAAAGACATAAACATACAAAGCAGGAACAAATTCGTCCACAAAACCAAAAACATCCTGGTGTCAGTGGGCAGAGGGGAGAAATAACGCCATTAGATTTTATTCTCAGTGAGCTTTAGACAAGCATCACTCAATCGTTTCTCCCTTTCATTAAATAAAATGTCCAATTTGAATCGGTCGACTGTAAACAACGGTGAAAAAAATGAAAATAAGTGCCCTCGTCGTCTCTCTTACTGTCGTGTGCATTCATCCCCCTCTTAATGTCCTGCAAATGAAGGGGATTTATTAATGTGTAATTAAGTAATAATCATCGCTACATAATGCATGAAACACTCATGGGGACGGTGGAGATATGAAACAGGAATGCCACAGCCGAGCACTCAGTGCATAGACACACATTAAAAAGGGATTAATTGAGAGAAATAATATTTTGATAAGCGCAGCTCCCTCTCCCCCTCTGACGAACGCTCGCTGTCTTTTTCCTCTCAAAATAATCTCTCTCTCGCTCTTGCGTGCGCGAGTAACACTGGCAATCACAGTTTCTAATGTAATGTGATGTGAGAGCATGACTTCCTTTACTGGAAAAAAAAAATACCCGGACTACCTTGACAATAGGCAATGGATTCTCAAGAAGCCCACCACCACCAGCAGCAACCAATGCGCCTGCATATGTTTACTACATCCCTAACACCTGCAGATTGCAACATATCAAAGCAGAAATTAATGACAAACAAGCTTAACCTCTGGATGAGCGAGCCAATACACAAGACACCGGAACATAAAAAAACATGAGTGATTTTTGTGCATACCACACTCAGACATATTGTTGGTGCCCTTCTAATCTCCAAGCATTCCAATCAAAGCTAAAGGTGCTGGGCTGAGATAGGGACAGAGCGAGCCTTGGTTACATATTTAATTGGCCTCTGATTGATGTGCATCGCTGAGTCAATACAATCACTGTTTACCCCCAAACCTCTGTGCTGCTGCAGGCCAACGCATACTCGATAGGAAACTGCAATAGTATTTGTTGCAACACAACAAGACATTTGCTTTAAATGTGCCTTTTATAAACAAAACAAACAAAAATAAAATTGGTTAATGCTAGCGGGGGGGGGGAGATTATGCATATTACAATAATCACTCTGCGCATGTGAAAAAATAAATATTACATTATTGATTACAGGGTCAACAGCCTGCACTTTTCTGCAAAACAACTCAACAACATTGTTTAGGATTGATCTGCACCCAGCAGGCTCTGTCAGTGTTAAATGTCTATGAGTGTATTTTCACTTCATCCACCATGAATATTATCCACTTACACTCTATGTAAACTTATGACCGTTTTTGTTTCTCCCTTGATGAACCTCTGCAGATTGCGGCCGTTAATTAAAACAAAAAACTGGTTATTATTTGGGGGAGGGGGTACTAATATGGGCCACATGGCCACCCGAAAGCCCATCTGGTTTCTATTGGGGTGACGGTGCCAAGTGATATCTCGACCAGCAGCACAATATCTGCTGATGGACAAGCTGAAATAGCAGCAGGCCTTATTGCTCCTAAATTCACCTGCCTGAAAGTGTTGAGTCTTGTAGGAGGGGCATGAATGAGATGGGACTGTGTGTGACTGATTCTGACATGTCAAAGTCACAACCGGGAATAAATTCAAGACAATAAACAGCAAAGAGGGGGGGAAAACTGCAATCTGAGGTCTGCAGAGAATCAAATTTCACTTACACTACAACAGACTGAGAGGTGTATAAAATGAGTGATGTAGGAATATACCTAATTAAAAGGTTATTCTATTAAAAATAAGGTTAAAATATCAATAAAAATAATATAGTTAATTTTTTTTATTTTAAATAAATAAAGTTTACATTTAAATGTAGTATATCGTATAATATTAATAATGACGTGATTATGATAACTATTAAGTTTAATTATAAAATGTAAATATAATTTATTAGAAATTGGGCTTTTTAAAAACATATTACACCTATTATTAATAACTAACCTATTTACATGTATTTTTTAGGTATAGCTCCTTGCTTCAGCTTATATGAGGTAACTTGTCCTCCCAAACACAAGACCTGCTGGCACCTGGCATCAAAATGAAAGAGCTTAATTTGATAATTATCGAAAAGCATGCCTAAAGTTTCTAAACATGGTGTCACTATTGAAAGCAAACCCGTAAAACGATGAATTTTCACAATCCCCGCCAGTTTTACCCAGGAAATCTCATTGGTCATGTGAGTTGTTCTGTTCCCTCTCGTACAGCAACATAAAACGCTTACCTTTAACGGAGCGCGGTTTGGCCTGCTTGCGTCTAGACATCTCCGTGTTAAGAGCAATATTTTACTTTCTTTAATCGGTATCTTGTCCTCTCCAAGAAATATTGACAGGTCACGCGCTGATACTTGGGAGATTTCTTCACTTTGCCTGTTGCAATGCGGCAACTTCAGTCTCGCTAGTCCAGAAGCGTGCAAAGGAAGAGAGAGTACGGCAATGGAAAGGGATATTCCAATGATTGAACTTCTCCAACCTGTAGATTTAACGAATAACTTGCGGCTTTCCCCGTTCTCGAGGCGCGAACGCTCTTTTGTTCCTCCGTAACGGTAGACGCTGACGGCGGAGCGGGCACGCGCGCTCAGAGTTTCGAGAAGCGGAGCGTGCCCAAATTACACCTGATCAGTAGCGAGAGGTGCCAATACTTGCCGATAATGTGGAGAAGCCACTTCGACGGTGTTTCGGAATTGATTCGCTATGTTTGTCCTCCTTTTTGCAGTTGTCGCAACTGTCTCTTTTCGTTGAGATCCGCCGAACCACCCTCCTTCGCTGTTATTTTTCCGAAGGTGCCACTCTCAATGGCATTTTACGCAGCATTTTACCTGAGGGGATTTTCTTCTTCTTGTTGTTTATCGTCCTAAAAGCCGTAAATATTTCTAGTCGCTAGCCTCTCTCTCCCTTTTTCTTTGTCCTGACTCTGGTCTTCCCTCCGCCTCCCGATCCGACTGCTGGCGGGGCTGCAGCGCAGACACACATAATAAAGCCAGGCTTGGCTGGAAATGTAGCCGTGTCCCAGCAGGAGGATGTGAGAGTAGGGTCCCGGCGGGGGAGCGCTCTGATCCCGCAGGGAGCTCCGCACAGCCTGGGTTGAGCAGACAGAGAGAGCCAACAGCACCAAACCATGGTCAGCCATGGAAACTACAGCTTAACTTGGAGCACGGATCGGGGCCAAAACACGGAGCTTCGAGGAAACTCTGCAGCGTGCAAGAAAAAAGACGGACTGGATTCGCTTTTTGCGCTCCTTGTACCGATGCCATCGTCTCGGGTTCACTCCAGCGTTTAACTGTCGATTGGATACCATGACATTTTGGTTATTTTGAACATTTAACATTCCTACGTCGTCTTTGTAATGCGTTAACCTGCGTTTAAAACGAACAGTTTTAGATTTAAAGGAATAGTTGGGCTCAGCCGAAAACATAAACAATGTCATCATTTACTCAACCTCACGTTCTCCCAAGCCCTTTTTGACTTTCTTTCTTTTGCTCAACACAAAAGGAGATATTAGGCAGTTTGTTAAGCCCTGACAGCCTCCGCCACCATTCACTTTATTACATTTTTTGTGTGTAAGTGAATGAGACTAAAGAAACTCATTCTGATTTAAAACAAGAGGGTGAGTATGATAGATTTCTGAGTGCATATATTGTGTCAGTGTTTGTTTATTTGTGTCAACATTAAATGCATGTTTAATCTGCATCTTTTTTTTATGGAGTCAGTCAGATGTGTTGTTTTAGTTATTTTGGGATACGTTTTAACTAAACTTCATTTAAACCCTTTTTCTAGGATTCCTTTTGGCAGTGTTAGGCCTTTTCGACAGTATTTTCAATCCCCACAGCGTCTGTCTGGCCGTTTGCATGTGCTGCTGAAGTGCAATTGCAGAAAGAAGATCATTTGTGCAAAAATCAACCTAAGAAATGGTCAAAATCACATGCGGTGCGCCGGAGCTGCTCAGCCGTTGTCATGGATAACATGGTGGGCACCCTGTCTCGGTCAGTGGGATGTCCTGCAGATTGAGCCAGGCGCCCTGTGGAGCCACGGAGCGGCCTTTAAAATTGACCCCCCGCAGAGGACCGGGGCCCCTCTTGTCTCGTCTGAGCGCACGCCTGGAGACCGCTTTTAAATGTGCTTCTGGTGTCCCAGAGAGAGAGGCCGCTGGCACGAAGGGGCGAAAGCTCACCGCAGTGGTCCCTTTTTCTTGGATAAATTCAAAGGAGGAAAATAGCCCACATTACAAGCTCCTTAAGGGTCAAGGACAGCCGAGACATGAATGGTTTGAAAGAGTGGCATTGTGAAATCACATAGCACACGATTACACCCTCTGTCATCTTTTTACGGATTTGCATTTTTCTTGCACCACAATGAACAGTTCAGAATAAGACTTACAAGACATGTGGATGAAATTAATTAAGACGCTGGAGAAAAAGAGGTGTGAACGACAAAAGCGGTGGTCCTGTTTGGAATAAACGCCGTTGCTATTTTAGGATGATTTTAATGAGTGGCAAAACATTTTTATTAGTATTATAATCTTTTCTTTTTTTTTTTTGTTTGGATCCCATTTGAAAAATATTGGACATTCAAAGAAGGAACAAAATCCTACGTCGGACGCAAAATAAGTAATGAAGGCATTTGCAACACTTCATTTCACTGCTAACTGAACTCAAATGGTCTCACTTTTGGCTAGTATTTCCCTCCACGCAGCAGGGATGGCAGTAGATTGATGCCCTTACATTATTCATGCAACAATTATTCAAAATTTAGCAATAACTCAACAGCGTTTTGTCCTTTCTCTCATCCGTCTCCTCTCTCAGCGTACCTAGGTATGCTGCTATTCTTATGCGACCATCATCCATTGGACAGTGCGGCCCCAGAAAACACCCTTAAACACTCCCCCATTGTACTGTCACAAGCCTGGAGAGTTCATGTTATATTTATGTTGCCTACAGCGTATTCTCTCTGTTCTGTTCTGTTCAGCTGAACTCACGCCAACTCCTCCAGGTCCCCCCTCCACAGACAATGTTACATCTCATTGGCTTTGCCCTAGATAGGCTATTTTTGTATGAAATAATTAGACATAACTGATTTAAATACTGCAAAGCCAACACTCTTTTGTCTCGTTAACAAAGTACAGGAAAGGCACATGCTTGTCATGTCATTTCTGTCAATCCCTACAAATACGAATGCGTCCAAAGCTAATGGATCTGAAGGTGAGCCAAAAAATGAAGAACTTTATTTGATTCGGATACGTTCGGGACTGAGCTACAGTGACCTGACCTGATAGAATCTATTATGAAAGCAAAAAAAGCACTGCCAGGAGCTTTTAATTGTCTCAACGTGTATATCAGCAAAATATAGGATTGCTAAAATATGCCGGCGTACAGCACTAATTGTCCATATAAGGACAGCGCGGCGCTTAAAACAGCACGTTTTGTTTGTTACACTGACCCCGGACCCAGACAGCCGTGCTGATGCCGAGTGCACACGGGCACACAAGGGAGAGGTGGAGAGCAGGAACGCAGATTGGGGCTGACCGCTCGGCTGCACTTTAATGTACCCTCTACTTCATCAGTCCTGATTAGCCACCATAAAAATCCAGATTGAACATTACAGTTTTACTGCTGATTGTCTTCCAAACACTCTCAGGTGTTGGCGTGTTAAATGCCAGGGTGTGCATCTGTCCTCGCGTCCCATTAGCCTGCTGCAGTGAGACGTCTGACTTGAAAAAGGGGGACCCTCTTCAGAAACGAAAGCAATGCAGAACAAATTTCAGGCTTTTAGGCTTACTGCATCTTGTGCCAAAACCTCAATAACAAGCCCCCCTCCAAGCCCCCATTTCTCTGGCTCTTGCCCCAGACTTACACAAAGAAACACCAGCTTTATGGACTTAGGGCATTAAGGCATAAAAAACAGCGGACGGAGAACAGGTTCGTGACACATGGCGCCAAACGCAGGACCTGATCTTGTCAGATCTCGCACAGGCCGTACAGTTTAACGCTCCAATTCGTAGGTGCGCCGACTTGTTTTCAAAAGGCCACATGAAAGGGCTTAGCGAGAGAGATGAGCATTTGCGGCGAGGAGGCCGGCGCTCCAGCAAAAACGCTTTTCTGATGAGCTGCAACAATGCACTCACTCCCACGACATCAGCTCTCTGTTGGGAGTCTCCTCCTAATTTCCTCCATCCATAATAAAAAGAGCTACATTAAACAGTGCCATTAGTGCCAGCAATTTGTTTTATTCTCCACAGAAAGAGAAATGTTATCTGTGGCGGACAAACTTAACCCAATTAAAGCTCATTGTGTATGGGGGCCTTGCTGGGTCTTCAGCTGATGCCTAGGAACGAGGGCAGAGGAAGCCAACTTTGGGGAGGGAGAGGGGGGAAAAAGAATGTTTGGAACATGTCTGGAGAATTAGGGAAACTAGGAGAGAGACAAATGTGCTTTCAGGAAAATAGACGGGAAGAGAAATTATGTTTTCCTGCATTTTCCCCCCACATCAAATCCCTCCCAAGATGGTTTGATAGAGGAATGGTGTGCGAAATGTACACTTGAAACTAAAAATGAACAGTTATTTTGCCTTTTAAATAAACAGCCAAAGGATTAAAGCGTAAACGGCATATACGTTTTTGGGGGGCCACCCTCCCAAATATTTGATGCTGATGATACTCGGTCCATCCTTAGAATGACCAACTTTTAAATATACGTTCTGTCGATCTTGCAGCCCTTATCAATATTAAAACTACTGAAATGGCCAATCAAAACAAAGAAGGCTGAGCTTTCACCAAGACCAACATAAATTAAGTTTGAGAAATAGCAGGTCTCAGTATTTTTGTTGATACTAGTCTGATTATTAATAATGCAAAATTGCCTGTCTCAATATTTGAGTCAGATTGTTGTTAGAATGACCCAGTTTAAAAAGTTTTGTCAAAAAAACTGAAATGGTCAATCAACTCAAATGCAGACCTTTGCAATCCACAGAAACCAAACATGAACTACAGCTCAAGCCTTTAGTTTTTAATAGCGAAAGAGTGTGAAGTAATATGTAAACAGCTAAATATTTGATACATTACACAGACTGATGAACACTTAACTTAACACACCTCACGCAAACTCTTTCCATACCCCTCACTGCATACCATCAAGATGTAACATGCACTGCACTTTAACCAAATCCTTACTAACAATATTGCCTACAACAATTTTCCAACAACAGTCAAACTATGTGTACACCTTTTTGACTGTGTACTTGTCAATCTGTGCCTACTACATGTGTGTTTTTCTTAACGCATCTATTGTCTTTCATGTATTTATAGTCTTTTATGAATTATTGTCAATATTGCTAATAGCATATTGTTTTGTTTTTGAAGTAGGTTGTATTTTGCACTGTCTGGAGTCAGCCCCTAACCTTTTCCCTCATCATAGCACACGTGTTGCTAATGTCGCAAGTACATGGTGCAAGCTGCTAATTTAAATTAAAAATATGAAATTAATATACATATACATATTTTGCTCAGCATATATAAGTACACCCCTCACAAATGTATCTTTTAAATTCATATTTTTAACAGATGCTATACAATATTATATTTGTGCATATACACTAGATTAGTCAGTACTGAAGCCAAATCTGGAGCTTATTTAACCATTTAACTTACGATAACAGTCCAAAAACTAGTACACCCAAATTTATATGTTATAGAAAAATGTTAAATACAAATTTTAAGAGGAAAAATCAAGAGAAGCAAACAATTTAAAAAATTTAGTTTAAATTTTGTAGGTTGAAATTGTTTTGCAATACTTTGCTTGAATTGAATTGTATTGTCTTTCAACTTCTAAATATGTTTAGTGACTAAATTATTATTTTAATAAATGTATCTGTTTAATAAATCTGTTTTGTTTAAATGCACCAAAATACATAGCCTATATTCACTGAGAAATGGATATAAATATTCCTTGTACTTATATATGCTGAGCACAATATATAAAGAATTATTAGGCCCCCTTTGAATTTCCATCTTTTTTTAAATATGGCCCATATGACGTTTAACAGAGCAAGGAAACTTTCACAGTATGTCTGACAATATTTTTTCTTCTGGAGAAAGTCTTGTTTCATTTCGGCTAGAATAAAAGCAGTTTTTATATTTTTTAAAACCATTTTAAGGTCACAATTATTTGCCCCTTTAGCCTTTATTTTTGTTTGATAGTCTACAGAACAAACCACTGTTATACTATAAGTTGCCTAACTACCCTAACCTGCCCAGTTACCCCAATTAACCTAGGTAAACCTTTAAATATCACTTTAAGTTGTATTGAAGTGTCTTGAAAAATATCTAGCAAAATATTATTTACTGTCATCATGGCAAAGATAAAATAAATGAGTTATTAAAACTGTTGTGTTTAGAAATGTGTTGAAAAATGTTCTCTCAATTAAACAGAAATCAGAGGAAAAAATAAACAGGAGAGCTCATAATTCTGACTTCAACTGTATATGTGCAATTCCATGCAAATTTCAACCTTGGTATGATAAAAAAAAAGTCGAAACCGTTTCTGCATTTTTTTTTTTTTTTTTTGTGTAAGTAAGTGTTTTACAGTGCTTTAAAAATAGTCAAAATGTCTGTTTATGTTTAGCTTTTTATTTTCATTATATTTGATTTACCAAAATCACACAAGTGCCAATTTCACATCTGTCACATCCATAACGGAGCTTTTTCCACATAAATGCAAAAAAAGTAAAAATAAAATAAAATCAATCGTTTTTTTCTATACTGAGGTAACTCTTATCCTTTTGATTAGCATTGTTTTTTTTTGAGTTGTGCAGTTTAATTCACAGAATTATTAAAAGAAATTATATTTCCCAGCCTTTTAATAAGACTTTAGTTAGGAAAATTAGATACAAATATTTGACGTTTCCTCTCCCTCCAAAATATGAAGTACATTTTACAATTATGTATATTTACCCTGCAAAGGACTTTTTGAGAAAATGATTTAATGTGAATTGTAATGTTTGCCAATTCTGCAATAGTGATATTGAAACTGTTGAAAATCTATTTCATCATTGTTTCGTCATTGTAACAATTTGGTTAATCCTTTCTGGTCTGATGTGGACAACTGGACAAAACAATACATTTCAATGTTTCCTTCTATTTGTTGGGACATTGTGAAATTTGGAGTACATTTGAACAACAAAGATGATGACTTAACTGTAAACTGTTTACTTATTTTACTAAATTCTTTATTTATAAATGCAAATTTGAAAACTGCTCCTCGACTGATTTTATTTAAAAAGCAGTTTGTCACCTATGTAGAGGCCTTTAAAATAATGAAGGGTGAGAAGGCTTAGCAACTGATTTGTTTCAAGAATATGGTTTTATTTGACCCCTTACAGAGTTTCTGTTTTATGTCTGCAGTTTTTTTTTTTTTTTTTTTTTTGTTATTTTATACGTTTTTGTTTGTATGTTTGTTTGTGCAATTTTATGGCTTTATACATGATTCTTGAATATCAGTTTCTCAGTCATTTTGTGAAAGATTATGTTGGCAATGAGTTTGGCCTAAATTGTTGTTTTTGAAAGGCAAGCAAACGAAAAAAATTCACAGAATTTCTAGAAAGTATATTGTAGACTGTAAACTCGCTAAAACATTTTTTTCGTCACATGCATAACACTTGTTTATTTCCCTTAAAATAAAATATAAAAAATGTTTACAGATTGATATTTTTCTGGTCCCTTAACTCTGTGGTCAGTTGTTTTGGAAAATATAAACAGATCTTTCAATATAATGTTAACACATACTTCCTATCTAACTTACGATCCTTGTGTACAACGCAGAAAAAAGTAGTTAGATTGATAGAAAATGTGGGGTATTTAGAACATACTTTTTTATATTTTATATTGATACTTAATATCAATGATTTGGTTAAATTGAAAAGAACACAATTGAATAGAGGTGATTGAAAAAGTATAAAATGAGAAAGGTATGATGACATTTCAATTGATGACTGTTTGCAGTACTATGTCTGAATCAATGGAATCAAACATATAATATGTCAAAGATGCCAAAATGATAAAAATAAATGGCTCATGTAAAGCTCATATTTTTATGTAAAAAGAAGAAATAATTTAAGTAATAGACAAATGAAGTGTGTGGTAATGGGGTGGGAAAATAATAAGCTTGTGCTTTATCCCGCTTCATTTTCGACCATGTTGAAATGTATTTTTTTGTTAAAGCATTTTAACGTATGATATTTCTGTTTGAAAATAAGTAAATCATATCAAAAACATATACTTTCATGATGACAGTAAATAATATTTTGCTGGATATTTTTCAAGACACTTAATTAACATTTTAAAAAAACATTAGTCCTCCCTCGATGTTCAAGACGTGGTCATAGCCTTGGGTTCAAGTCAATATAAAAAAAAAAATGGGAGGAACTTCTTACAAAGCCACACGTTCTGAGACACTCGCTCATACCCTCACATTTTTGCTGTTAATTGTTGTGATAACACCTCTCGATTACAGGGGTTTAATTATCAACATGTTTGGCTGTTAGAGTGAGTACCTGGCACAGATCCTGGTGAAGGGCTCAAGGTTTCTAATGAAGATCTCACTCACAGCAGCATACAGGAGCTCAGTGTGGTGCTGTCCTAACAAAGAAGCACATTGCGTTTAGAGACGACCTGGGTATCTGCGAATTCTAACACAATAATGCCAAGAATATTCATAGTGATACATTTTGATTGATATCCAGTTGTGCGGGAATGGCAAGTGTGTGTCTCGGTGGGGGAAAAAAAGGTGATTTGTGTGATTGCAAAATCGTAACAGTAACTGAATGGCATGTTGCGGAACACAAATGAGGCTTGTCTGCACATCCGTTACGCCTAAAGCTGGTTTCACTCCGTTTGACTGGTAATCCTTCTGTCTCCTATTGCATTTATCAGCTTTAGTGGGGCCGTTTTTTGCTCGCTTACCCAAAAAAGGCCCAATCAACACCTCCCAGCTGGTGAAATGAAGCAGAACCAGGCCTCCATTACTTTGAGACGTGATGGATACTTCACAGCTGCGGTCGAGTGTCTGTGATCAGAGAGTGGAGAGACAAACAGCTGTAAAACATGCCCTACTAAAGACACACACATTTGCTGAGAGTAGAAGATACACACATGCTGATTCATCCACAACTGCGTTTCATCTCATACAGGATTTTTTGTGAAAACATTGCGTTATGAAGATTAACCATGGACTTATTGTAGTAATTGTGCTTTCTTGGTGTACTGATTTCCATTCGTGTGACCAGTTTAACTACAAATACCATGGTTAAACTACTGTTATTATAGCAAAACCCTGCCTAATGTGTTTATTTATTTTATTTTTGTGAAACCAAGGTCTGAAGGAGGACAGGAATACATTGGTTTAGGAATGCTCTGAAAAATGATATTAAAACGTTGTGTAATATTAAAACGTATTAGATTATTCGGGGGCATTTATTCTCTTGGTGTAAAATCTAATTTGAGGCACATTTGCTATTTTACAATGCTTTGTTTTAGTGGAATATAGTCTTATTTCTATATTTGGTTTGTAATTGAAGATTATATAGGTTATATTTGTCCTCAAAGAAACATTTCGTCGTCTGAAAACAATATTATCTCATTCAATTTAGAGAATGTATGCAAACTATAACGCCTTTACAAACACAGGCTCTAGTTATTATGAAATTGTACATGGTACAGTAGTTACACTCAGCAAGCCTTCGATTCATCTCCCAACGGTTCATTTTGAATGAGAAAAGATATTTACTGTTATTGAGGGGAAATATATTCACGCTAGCAATGTGTTCCGGAGGACGAAAGCAATTTGTAGGGTTGGTTCTGTATTTAAATCGCATTAAATGCTGCATTTCAGTTTTTCTCTTCTCTTTTCAAATGAAATATTCGAATAAAACATGGCCAAATCTTATTTGAGAACAGCATGTCTGTAATAGAAAAGCAAAGATGTTTTTAGGTTTCATACACGGAGAAAAATTAAACACTGAACAGCTTAATTAAATGTATAGTTATGTAGGTATACAGCGCTATCTAGTGGCTTAATTGGGCATTATGGTAGTGGAATTACTGTTTTTTTGTCATGTTTCCATGTTAAGCATTCAAATATGCTTACATTCAAAAACATAAATATTAACGTTACACTCTTGCATTTAAAAGCTAAATACACACTTATAACGTTATTACATTTAACGTTAAACTAAATATGTAAAATGTTTTTGTATCGCCAACTTTCAAAAGAACAGTTACTCAAATATGCAATTTCACCCTTAATTTGTTTTAAACCTGACTTGAAAAATTTTTAAATGGCGGCTTTACCGTTAATCACCGTTTGGATTTGAGTTTTTTGGGCATCTTCCGTGTACTGGTTTTAAATAACAAACTACAAAAAAAGGAAAAACTATCAGTAGATAACATGACAAATAATTTTTATTAAAATGCTTTTTAAAACTCTATAATTAAAACTAGTATAGTTTTCGTCAGGCGGAAGGCCTAACGTTACTGGCCAAACGATATTTACTCATGTCATTCCAAACTACTCATGGTGGGAAATAATAGGTTATTGAACGTTTTTTTGTGATTGTTTCTCAATTCTCATATAACTAAAGTGAAATGTATATTAAGTTCCATACCGAGAAAACACCGCAAATGAGAATTACCCTTTCGTGAGCTTACAGAAGCAACATCTCCGCATACAGAATGAATCCCTCTGTGTCAGGCCTTCTCGATGAAGTTGAATCATTTGCTTACCAGTCCATCACTGCCAAACATTGTGGTTGCTGCGTTCACTTATGGCGTTTTTTACAACAAGAGAAACTTGAAAGGCTGGTTTCCATAAAGTGCAGCACAGATGGACTGATGGAGCCAAAACCCACGAGGGGGTTTAGTACCAGTTCAGGTAAAAACAAGTTGAGAGCAGCGACCCCTTTGGTCACGGTGAACAATGTTCCAAAACATGAACGACTTGAATATTGCAGTGAGGGTCAGATCTGAATTTGCATTAAGTCAAATTGAGCAGAATAATCAAAGTAAACATTCATATGAATATTATTATCATGTGTTTTTTATTTGCTTTTATACATTATCGGGGTTATTTGAGTATAACTGGTGTAATGGTGCTATTCACACATTTAGGGGATGTATAATTGGTGTAATGGTGATATTCACAGATTCAGGATATTTGCACACATTTAGTATTACAAAAATGGTTCAATCTTAAAAAACAAAAATTGTTAAAGGAAACCGTTTTCATAATTTCACCTTTTTTGGGGGGGAAAAAGTACAAAAAACACCTGTTTTAAATATCTTTTGCACAGGCATGGTGGCAAAGTTCATGCAGTACAAGTTTGAAACAAATAAACAAGTACTCCTTTTCAACAAGAGAGTTTAATGAATGGTATTCAGCAACATTTATCTATTTATCGATCTACACAGCTAACGGTCTTCTGGACAGGTTTTTAACCAAAAAACAAAATCTGAAACATATTCAACAATTGTGTGGAGAACACTGGTGTGAAAAGACATCTGCACAGGCCTAATCTTTTAAAAATCTGTAGGAATAAAGAAAACACCACTTTTGATATTTTTTCATACCAGAACATATTTAAACAATGTAAAGGATCCTGACAGAAAACACAAGGGTCAAACTCCTAAAAATACAAAAGAAAGCTGCAAGTTCAAAATGTTAGAACTGTTCCAGGTGGCATTATAGAGCTATGATTTACTCAGCCGTCCTGAGGGAAATCAAGGAAGCAGGCGTCGTAGGGGCCGCGGACCTGAACAATAAAACACAAAATAAATTCAAAACATTAATATCCAGACCTTTAAACCATTAGTGCCCTAATATGGTATATGCAAAAGGACTCTGAATTTTCAGTAACCCATTCAAGCTCTTCCGGTAAACTGTTATGCCAAAATTACAGCATTTAAGGTTTTAAAAAAAAAAAAACTGCCTGACCGATATACAAAATAACGTGGGTCTCAATGTGCATGAAGGACTGAATTAAATTCCATTATGCGCCATGTTTTTAAAATATGAAAAATTATTTTACCACAGTATTTTCAATAGAGTTTCTGCGCTCACCTGCTGTTCCTTACGGCATTTGTGTTTAAACTGCTTTTCATAATTTTAAAACTAAATGAATCATGCATATGATTAACCGAAGACAAAAAAAAGAAGGAAGACGAGTGTGTGTGTGTGTGTGTGTGTGTGTGTGTGTGTGTGTATATATATATATATGTATATATATATGTTTAACGGAGAGAAGATTTTCTCAACACATTACTAAGCATAATAGATTTAAAAACTCATTTCTAATAACTGCAGTGTTTCCTCTAGGATTTTTCCAGCTGTGGAGGCAGGCCTTTTTAACATAGATCTACCAACTACCTGTGGCGTTACTTCAATGACAAATTTCGTGAGCGCAGTATTACAAGTCGAAATCACATTCATGTAATAGTCTACAACAGTGGTTCTCAAACTGTGGTACGTGTACCACTAGTGGTACGCAGGCTTCCTTCTAGTGGTACGCGGAGGAATTGCTGAATAATTCAAGTAAAAAATTAACACACTTTTAACCATTGACGCATACGATAACAACAATGTGATCAGGAAATTGATTCTAATAGGCTAAACCTTTTATTTTATTTTCAATTTTCTAATGTTTATTATGTATTCTGTCATTTGCAGCTAAACCCCTCCCCATATTTGAACCGGTTGTTGAGGGCGTATCCTGTATTTTTATATCCCAAAATTGACAGGTATGGTTTAATGACTTGCTTTTGTGACACACAAAGCCTATAACACGCAGTAAGCAGATCTACTTTCTAAATTAAATATGTAAATCTAAATCATACATTTAAGGTTAATGTTTAGATTTCAAAGACATACAAGTAAAGCACATGCAATATCTATTTCAATTTTTTTTCAAAAACATTTTATTTATGAATATGATCACAAAAAGCCTATATTTATGACGTCCAAGGAATATATGTTAATCCTTTACATTTAAATACAGCAGTTTTATTTTTATATTTAGGAACAGTGCCATTTTAATTAACTTTTAGAAGCATATTTTAATTTAACCATATATTTTTTTTCCTGTAAGTATAGTGCAGTGTTAACGTTCAAGCTATTTATTATGTTTCAAATAGCAGACAATAATAAATATTCATAATAATAGAAATTAAACTGCCTAATTTTTGAACTGTGCAGAGCTTTGGCTGCTTAATTAGGCATACTACGCTACTGCATTTCAATATATTATGGTGGTACTTGGAGAGACATTTTTTTCTGAGGTGGTACTTTGTTGAAAAAGTTTGAGAACCACTGGTCTACAAGCATGCAAATCTCTTTGCGTGCCGATTTCCTCTGCTCGTGCACAAAACTTCTTGCACACCCCCTCAAATATACGCTGCTCAAGCGCAGATCTTCTTGTGCGCTTTCAAATAAACCCTGCTGAAGTGCAATTTAGTGCGTTTATGTAACAAGTATGTCTCCAACATTTATTAGATTTTCTAGGAATATTTATGAATGTCTCCAATAGGCCTACAGAGCGGCATTAATGCGTCCTGAAATGAAATGGCTATACGTCATGTTTGTTCCCGTCAGTCAGCACGTCACCTTAACGCCTGTTTCACACCGCAAGTGAAAGCAGTGCGTGAGCAGCATATGCGCAGCACGTATGGAGAGCAAAAGCTGCACGCAGGCGTTTGCCTTTCACACCAGCTGCGTCTGCAGCACGCAGCTCTTTGGCAGCTGCTGCAGAGATCAATCTATCTCTGTCTATTCTATCTAGTTACATATCTCTCTCTATATATACAAATACACTTTTTTTTTAACTTTTTATCTGCACCAAGGCAACCTCCTCCTATGCTGTTTTTTTAACATGCAAGTCTTTAATTTAGAAAGTATACAGATCATACAGTACTGTGTTCTCCTCAAGCTCTATGAGTCATCATTCATGTCTGGTGCACTCAGAAGACAATCACCTGTGATATCATGTCATTTGGTTTTTGATTGTCAGGATGTTTTAGGCCTAGTTATAATAACATTTATATAATATAGTTATAATAATATTTATACATGATCAGACTAGTGTTACTTTCTCCGCTTCAGTGATGTCCAGCGGCAGAGTAACAGCTTGTGCAAAGGATGAGACGGACAAAAGTAATCAATGCATGCCCTTCTTTTACTAATTTTCGTGTTGTCAGGTTCACAGTGCAGACAGCTCCCGGGCGGAATAACTTGAGTGAACATAAAACATAGCCAAATATTTGAATATAAAATTGTAACATAGCCGTGGCAGGATGAATTTTGGCATGGCACCCCGCCATGGAGGAATGAATGTGGCGGAAACCATGTACTGATTTATTATATCTTTGTCATGATGACAATAAATAACATTTAAAAGCTTAATTAGGTTAACTAGGCAGGTTAGGGTAATTAGGCAAGTTATTATCAGGGCCAGACGGAATCTGCGGACGTTTTTTGCTATTTCTGCGTAGAATTTTGGTCAAAATCTGCGGATTTCTGCTGAATTATTTTGGGAGTATCCAGCAGAGAATCATAACTAAAACCTTAACATATGAAATAAAAAGTAATAAATTACAGAATAAAAACTCAATAAATTCAGATTTACACATTTACTCAAGTAAATCAACAGAATTAATGATGGGCTAAAAATCTGCAGAAATCTGCGGAATTCTGCGGAAAATCTCCATAATTCTGCGCGAGCAAATTCCGTGGGCCTAGCTATTATATTTAATATATATAATCTGTCCACAGAAAACAACTTTCTCTGTAATTTAGTCGACTCTTTATTCCAACGTGATAAACTACTAGTCAGTCAACAATTCCAACAGTACAAATATTAAGTCCAGCTGAATCGATTAGCCTAATATACTTTAACATTACTAAAAAGAAAATCATACATAGCTAATTTACTACTTTCACTTTCCTTTTCCTTCAGCTTAGTCCTTGTTTTTAATAGTTTTAATTAATTATAAAATATATATTTAGAAATTTGTAATATCATATAAACTTATGACACTTTCAGGTATTTAATTTGCACTGAATAAATGAAGACGTAAGGACAGATGACTTGCAGAGGATAGTAACAAATGTGCGTGCTGCAGCTGTATTTATAATGTACATAAAGCGCATGGTCGTGGCATGCAAATGTGAGCACAGAAAAAGTGCACATCTGCGCACGGATTTACGCAAATTACAGGGCTTGCCTCATGAGCTCGGAAAATACAGAAATCCGTATACGGAGGAATCACATCCCTGATGAATGCTTAAGTCTATTTAATTGATTATATTTTAATCACATTACAGCATTGATGCTGTAAAAATAGTTGCTTTAACCTTTCACCGGAAGTTTATCAGTAGGGGAAAAACCCTAGCTGTGTATACACCCCATTATTAAATACAGCTTTGTGAGTAGGTGTAGTCCTGACCTGTTTGGGCTCCCATTTGGAGGCTCCTGAGTTGTGGTGGAGCTGCTCGAGGGCCATGGGGTCCATTTTGCAGTGGGAGTACGCGAGTCAATAGAGAGCTTCGCAATAAATGAGCCCCTGGATGTGGCAGGAGTCCTCTAGAGGACTGGAAAGAGAGCAACGGAGTGTCGAGCAGACCGCCTGGACGAGCGGAGGACGGCGCAGGTACAAAAGTGGATCCAGGACCAAGGAGAGGCTGAGGCTTGTCCAGACCATGAGAAGCAGCTGCCCCTCGAGATGACTGGGCCAGAGAGGGTAAAAGACTGTGGGGGGCAGATAATCTGTGTGAAGGGGGCTTCAGGTTTTGCATTGATAGCAATGGAGGGGGTTTCGTCTTGGGAAACGTGCCTGGAAAATACAGAGAATATTACAGGAAATAAACTCATAAGAAATTTACTGCATAAAATCATACAAATGTATTCATATAAATCCAGTGTGTGTGCTTTAATTCTATTTATTCATTAATTTTGCTTCAGCTTAGTCCCTTATTTATCAGGTCACCACCATGGAATGAACTGCAAACTATTCCAGCATATGTTTTATGCAGTGGATGCACTTCCAGCTGCCACCGAGTATAGTGAAACACCCATACACACTCACATTCACACACACACTCATTCAATACAGCCAATTTAGCTCATTCCCACCTTATTCTTCACATACAAGTGGGTGCAGATATTTGAATCTTTTTAGCTCGAGACATCTGGTCTCATTCAATTCCATTCATTTTTAGACATTAAAAACTGCTCATTCTGCTGCATAATGTTGCAAACTGATATTTTCTTATTACATTATTCTACTTTGTCTGTATAGTCATGCAAACACTTGTTTGTAGAGCAAGTAGTTTGACCATTTTCTGCCATTTATTATTCCTAGTCATTTCTCCCATAGGCAACTGAATCGGAAGTTCTAAAACAATCGTAGAAACAAGCACACTTCCATATTGAAGAATAAGGTCAATAGCACATGACTTTGGACTGTGGGTGAAACAGTAGCACCTGGAGGAAACCCACATGAACACGAGAAGAACATGCAAACTACACACAGAAATGCCAACTGGCCCAGCCAGAATTCAAACCAGCGACCTTCTTTCTTTCTATTCATTAATGTACATATTCCAGAGGCCCCAAAACAAACCTGTCAATCCAATTTGAAGGCCAGAGGAAACATCTCCTGAGCTTGAGGGTGTGTTTATCTGCTCTCTTGGTGCTGGTCCAGTACCAGCAGGCAGAAGAGGTGGAGGTTTTCCTAACCCTGTGGGCAGGCTGTTTATCAGAGGAGCAGCTTCCCTGTCAACCGCAGTAGAAGACGCTGAGAAAGAAAAAGAAGAGGCATCATTTTTATATAAATTAATTTAAAATAATGTAAATGTAACTATGTAAACTGTTAACAAACAAACTGCATTAAATATTATTACAGTTGATTTAATATATAAAATATTTAACTTCATAAATAAACAAAATGATATATTTACTGTATTAAATAATTTGATATCATTTGATTAATTCATTCATTCATTCTTTCTTTCCGGCTTAGTCCCTTTATTAATCTGGGGTCGCCACAGCGGAATGAATGGCCAACTTATCCAGCATATCTTTTAGCGGATGCCCTTCCAGCTGCAACCCAGCAATGGGAAACCCCCATACACTTTTGCATTTAAATTAGATATTAGATCCTCTGACTGCACATCCTTTACAGGACGTGCGTCAGAAAGTGAGTGATTATATTACATAAATACACTGCTTGACCAATTTATACGTGATTTATCCATTCATACAAGCAGAATTTCCATGATTTGAGATCTCATCTGAAGCGGGCCATGGAGTTTGTGTTAAACGCACACAGAGACTAACTTTAATTCGTCTATATTCTAGCTCCAAATTTCAAGCAAGACAAAGTTGCTTGAGTTTATGTTCTGTGTCCCGTGACATTTGAATCACATTCAGATGAATTAGCCGAAATCTGAGGTAACAAATTAATCGAAAGCCACGCTGCTTTACAAAACAAATAACTTTATATAAACACACATTTTATACAACTACGAACACGCATTCAACACATTTGTGATAATTATTTTACCACTGATGCAGCATGAGGAGATTCCCGAATTTGCAGTCACTGAAATGCCAACACAACAGCACTGGTCAGCAAAAGCGCTTCTCTAGCGTGTATCTGCTCTGCAAGTGCCCCTATCTCTGGATCTGTGCCAAAGCAGGTTGATTTTAAGCATCTGATGATGCAATGAACTAAAGTAAACATTCTAAGCACACCAATGTGATCATATGCTTTAGGGAACCGCCAGTGCTGATCACATCACTATTATTGTTCGAGTCAAAAGGTTAAAAAGAGTGTTATTATTCAGTATTTCTCTGCGTACCACTAGAAGGAAGCCCTCGTACCACAGTTTGAGAACCACTGTTCTAAATAAAACAAATGAACATTTTCATATTAGTCAATATCACTGAAATTAATTTAAAAACTGAATACATAAAAATTTACACACATTTACACAAGAAAATTAATAGACTCTGCAGAAATCTGTGGTTTTCCACGCGCACAGATTCCATGTGGGCCTGGTCATTGCTTGGTCAACAAATGTCCGCTCCCCTGTGTCAGCTTCAAATTCTTGTACATATTCAACGTATAATATGCATAGATTTATTCCTCAAACACACACACACACACACACACCTAGCAAACTAACTGGAGCTCATTAAATGACATCATGCACAAAGAAACACAAAAAAATGATGAACCCCTATGATAGGAGCGTAACTAGGCCAGCACACTCACCTTGCAGATGGTCCTGGCGGTTCTGGAGAAACACAGCCAGTGTGCTAACCTCCTCCGGGTACAGGTGCAACCCTTCGGCCAGGAGGAAGAGCAGGTGGCGGGTGGTGAAGGGAACGGTGTGGCGCTCCAGCTTGCCGCGCTCCAGGTAGTCCTCCGTCAGCTCAGCCGCCCGCGTCGCAGCCTCCGTGGGGTTCAACGCCCGCTGCGGGCTGCTCTGGCGCCCATACTCCGTCAACACAAACTCCATAGCATGTTCTTTAGGCATATTTCGATGAACTGTAGAGAGGCAGAGGAAGGGTCAGCCAGCGGAGGGAGAGGGTTACATATGGTGCTCAGTGTGAGGCGCTGCAGTCTAAGCAGTGTGTAGAAGAGTTTCACCTCATCAGCAACACATACTGCAGTCGGCCAACCGCTGCTTAACCCCATTACTACATCAACATTCAGAAGGCACTCAAAGATGCATTCATGAGCCCGCCTGCCAGTTGGGTATAGGGACACTTGGAGTAAAAGTTAAAAGATTGCTTTTTAAGTGTGAGCATTTTTAGACTCACTGTGACAACAAAATAGACGACAAATTTGACAGTGTTGTCGTCTTACATTACATGGCTAAGATGCATTGAAACACACTGCATACACTACAGCCAATGGGTGACTAGCACATATGCTCTTTGTCTATGTTGTCATATCAATAGTCTGAATTAGTCATTAAATGTGGAAAATCGAAACTAGGACTGCATCGAAAACTATTTTAAATGTAAATATGTGTATTTGCATTACTGTAAATGGTAGAAAGAGCAAAAGCCATGTGCAACTAGAATTTACTTGAAAGTAATTTTGTTTACATGATTGTAAAGCTGTAAATTGAGCACCGTGCGCTAACATTCTTCATTCCAGATACCATGTCATTGTAGAAAAATAATTGTGTATTGAAAATGTATCAGTGTCATTAAATTATTAGTTACCATTCATTCAATTTTTACTGTCATGAACTAAGTCCTTCACTAAACTGAACAGCCAATCAGAGTTCGCTCACTCTACAGGAGGTGCAATTCGACTGCTCAAAACAGTAAGGAACGCACCACAAAAATGAAAATGACTGTTGCTCAATGACGGTCAAATGTCAGTAGGTTTACAGCTTGATGTGTCAGGGCATTTTGATATCTGTTGTCTGAAGACAGAAATTTGGCTGAGATAATTTGTTTTACGTGTTTAATCACTTTGGTTATTTCATATTGTATTTATTATGACTTTAATTTTGATTACATTTTTACAAAACAATTTTTAGTTTTAGTCTCTCAACTGATGGAATAACATATGTGTCCCTGGACAACAAAACTGGTCTGTTGTTGCATGAATATATTTTTAGAAATAGCCAAACATACATTGTATGGGTCCAAATTATATTTTTTAGAATAAAAATAGTAGGAAAAAAGTAGGAATATCAAGAAAAAATTAAGTTTCATCAAGCCATTTTGTAAATTTATATGCATAGCTAAGAATTTAATCTGGACAACTTTTCCAGATTTTCCAATAGTTGCATGTCAGCCAAATTTCAATTTCCAAAATAGACACTTATGACTGGTTTTGTGCTCCAGGGTTACATACATATTTGATTTCTAGTGTCAATTTTATTTCACAAGGTATGTTGTGTAAAATGTATTCCAGAGTACTATAGGTGTATAAAAAAGAACTTACCAGCCTGGTGAGGTTTTTCATAAATAAAAGAAATGATAATTTAATATACACTCACCAGCCACTTTTTTTTTAGGTACACCTGTCCAACTGCTCCTTAATGCAATTTTATAATCCGCCAATTACACAATCACATGGCAACGACTCAATCCATTTGGGCATGTAAACATGGTCAAGATGATCTGCTGCAGTTCAAACTGAGCACCAGAATGGGGAAAAAGGTGATTTAGGTGACTGAACGTAACATGATTGTTGGTGCCAGTTGGTCTGATTATTTCAGAAACTGCTGATCCTCTGGGATTTTCATGCACAACCATCTCTAAGCTTTACAGAAAATGGTCCTAAAATGAGAAAATATCAGTTCTGTGAGTGCAAATGCCTTGTTGATGCAAGAGGTTAGAGGAGAATGGCCAGATTGGTTTAAGCTGGACTCTTTAAAACCGAGGTATGCAGAAGAGCATCTCTGAGCGCACAACACGTCCAACCTTGAGGCGGATGGGCAACAGCAGCAGAAGACCACACCGGGTGCCACTCCTGTCAGTTAAGAACAGGAAACGGAGGGTACAATTCACACAGACTCACCAAAATTGGACAATAGAAGATTGGAAAAATGTTGCCTGGTCTGATGAGTCTCGATTTCTGCTGTGACATTCGGATGGTAGGGGCAGAATTTGATGTTAACAACATAAAAGCATGGATCCATCCTGCCTTGTATCACCGGTTCAGGCTGGGGGTTGTGATGTAATGGTGTAAGGGATATTTTCTTGGTACACTTTGGGCCCATAAGTACCAATTGAGCATAGTGTCAAAGTCATAGCCTACCTGAGCATAGTTGCTGACAGTGTCCATCCCTAAACGTCCACAATGTACCCATCTTCTGATGGCTACTTCCAGCAGGATAACGCACCATGTCATAAAGCGCAAATCATCTCAGACTGTTTTTTTGAACATGACAACGAGTTCACTGTACTCAAATGGCCTTCAGTCGGCAGATCTTAATCCAACTATGCATCTTTGGGATGTGGTGGAATGGGAGATTGGCATCATGGATGTGCAGTTGACAAATCTGCAGCAACTGTGTGATGCTATCATGTCAATATGGACCAAAATTTCTGAGGAATATTTACAATAATTGTTAAATCTGTGCCACGAAAGATTTAGGCAGTTCTGAAGGCAGTTATGAAAGCAACCCCAAACTAGTAAGGTGTACGTAATAAAATGGCCAGTGAGTGTGTATTAACAGTGTTTTTTTAAATTAAGTGGTGGGCATTATTTTTAATTCCTGATTATTTTTTTTTAATCAGGTCTGTCCTTAAAAAGTGCTGTATGTGTGCTTTTGACAATTTTAAATCATAAAAATACCATAGTATGTTTGCAGTTATTAAAAAAACACACACACCTTAAAGGTAATTTATTCTCCTTTGAAAATGTGCGTTCTGTGTCAGAATGTCTGGTCTTTGTAACCCCGCCCACTTTGACTTGCTTTAATGTATGTAGGCACAAATCAAAATGTGATCTACACTGTCAATACTGTCAATCCTGCATACCGCACCTTTATGAGCATTTAATCTATATTAGTATAATGTGTGTGTGTGTGTGTGTGTGTGTGTGTGTGTGTGTGTGTGTGTGTGTGTGTGTGTGTGTGTGTGTGTGATTTTTGCAAGTGTCTGTAATAATTTTTTGTGAAGAATTAAAGAGCCAATTATTTTGGTTCCTCTATACTTTATATGAAACAGTTAAGTGATAAGTTTGGGTATGTTTAACTATTATTTTAAACAAAGGCTTTAGGCCAAAACAACTGATTGTCTTTAGGCCAAAACAACAAATTCGATAAAATGGCATGGTGTGAATTTGAGCATTTTGAGTGTTATGCACGTTTGACGCAAAAACCGAGTTGGAAAATATGAACTTTAGCAGACATTCGCGACACCTTAACCAATCAGGAGCTTGCTTAAGTATGGGAAAACATCTTGTTAAACTGGGACCGGCTCAGTTGAAAGCACCAATGAAAATGGCCATACTCCAGGAAGAGCTTCTAGAAGAGTTAATGAACTCACAGAGCTGGGTGAAACTCTGGACACAATTCTACGGCGTTTATCAATTTTCCTAGAGCACATAAAGCTACTCTCTTAAAAACTCAATGTTCACATGTCTATTTACGCTCGAATATCGCGATTTATCTGCGCAGGCTGTATCTGGTGTGAATGCTCTATTAAGCCGAGTTCAGACTAGACAATTTTCAAAGTTTTCACACTGCATAACTATATGGGGTAGCATTCTGTTGCTGCTGTGTTTACACTGCAAGATGGATCGGCGACAGGGGGTTTCATACTATATGACTTTACAATAGGAAGAATCACCGACAACTTTGTCTTAGTCCGCAAACTACGTCATACAACCAAACACACGAAAAGTGATATGGAAACAACGTGATGTCATGTAGTTTATCTTTTCTTATTAACTACATAATGAGAAAGAATTCCTTTAGTGGGGTTAAAATTGTGCTTATTTTGCTCACCTGGTTTTGAAGGGAATTAGCAATTTCTCCTCAACTTTTTTTCTTTTTTGACCCGGTTGGGATTGTGATGTTGTTTAGATCAAGGGTCCTCAGCCTTTTTAGACAATTTGACCGCGGACCAGGGGTTGGGAGCACGTGGAAAGGGGGGTATGGGGCTAGGAGGGTGGAGGGGGCGGTGGTTCTCAGGGGGTGGTTAGTGGTGATGGTGGTGGTGAGGGGTTTCTCAGGTTGCTAGGCGACCATCAATCGTTTTCTCAGAGGATGACAAGCTGACAAAACTTTGCTGGAACTCTGATACAAGTTTTATTTATGGAGAAAATTACAAAGCACTGCAGAGGTTGGGGATTCAGTGTTTGTCTGGGATAGTTAGTCTACTAAAAGGTGAAGTTGATCAGCCACATGACTTGAGGTGTGCTCGCAGAGTATATTCAACTAGGTCCATCCGGAAAGCGTATGTGCGTCATGAAGCTTGTGCGCGCAAACCGCAAACTTCCAATGGAACAAATGAAATTGTGTGACCTCTAGAAAAGACGCGATATGTAAACGTCCCCTAAAAGGCCGCCGTCATTTGCAATCTCCGTTAGTTGATCTTCTTGCACAGACTTGGTGGATTTACCTGATTTGTTGATAAATGGGTTGCGGATCCATTCATTGGCAGTTTGTGGGTTCTTCACTGGGCCTTTTTCCCTTTCCAAAAACATTTGTTTCTTACTCAAATTGCTGCTTGTGCCTTAAATTTGGGCGTTCAAGTGACCGAGATGCAAGCGAGAGAATACGATCATTCTTCAAAATAAAAGATCATTCAGACTCGGATAATAAATATAACGGAAATAATTTGTGATTTCTTGTGCGGCCCAGTACCAATTCATCCATGGACCGGTACCAGTCCGCAGCCTGGTGGATGAACTCCCCCCGGCCTGCAGATACCCATACTAGTGGATGCTGCTCTTTCATTGGCTGTAGGTAATTGCCGATCTTATTTCATTCACACATTTCACAAAGGTCCAGATATTTAGCATGCCAAATATCTTATGGGCATCGACGAAACATCTGCGATTTACTCAGATTGCTTCTTTGATAGTTCACACAGTGTAATTGTTACTTATGTGAATGAGCACCGATTTGCCTGTGATTTCAGGCATTTGTCAGCGATTTCTAAAAATCTGTCATCATGCAGAAAATCATGCAGTCTGAACTCGGCATTAGAATATTAAATATTTTCAGAAAAAAAAATCTGTAAGCATGTTTCTACCCAAAAATACAGGTCATGTTTTATATTTTGGTGTCATGTCCAACGAAGCTTTTAACATTCTTAGAATTACAATATTTTGCAATGTCTGCATTATTGGACAAAACACTGATGCTTTTGCCATTCTTTGACCTTTTTTGTTTGTTTTTGCAGTTGGTAGACTTTTTGTTTTGCAGTTTTTGACATTGTTGAATTGTTTTGGCAGTGTATTTCCAGAATTGGTTATTTATGTATTTTTTGTGCAATCACAAACATAAATGATGTCAGTTAAGATTTACTAAAAATGCCCACCACCAGATCAAATGTATTTTACTGTAGTTCTCTTGTTCTGTATATTTAATTGTAGTAACTGTAGAACATTTAAAGTGGTTTAAATGGAAAACAGCTTGTGGGAGTTGGGACTTACTTTTGAGGGACTCTGAAAATATGATTACTGTGCACGAGGAAAGTGTTACATTAGTCTGCTCGACGAGAATACAAAAGGGGGAACCGTCGGAGCGGACATCTTGGAGGGCCCGCGTCAGGCCTGATTCCGACTGCAGGTAAAGCATTTCCACAGTGAGGCCAAGTTCCTGCAAACACTGGCCTAATGATTTGGGGTATTCCCTTTGAAAGAAGAAGAAGAGATGTGGTTATTGCGCACCGCGCTTCAGCTGAGGCTGTTGGGTGTGGCCTGGTTGATATATGCAGCAATGAATGTGTTAGGATTTAATGTGCCACACGGATAAATAAACCAACACAAATCTGTTCAGCATATTAAAAGTGTGTAAAAAATATTAAAATGACAAAATTGTCCTGTTTTTACCCGAATAAATGCTTTTGCCCGAGGACTTTGAAAAACATCATCATTTTACACATTACATATAAAGTTGAAGTCAGAATTATCAGCCCTCCTAAATTATTAGCCCCCCAGTATATTTTTTTCAACACATTTTTAAACATAATAGCTTTAATAAACTAATTTCTAATAACTGATTTTGTTTTATTTTTACCACGACGGCAATACAAAACATTTATACATAATACATATACATTGATTATACAACTAGATATTTTTCAAGATACTAGTATTCAGCTTAGAGTGAAATTTAAAGGCTTAACTAGGTTAAATAAGGCATTAGGGTAATTAGGCAAGTCATGGTATAACAATGGTTTGTTCTGTAGAAAATAAGGAACAAAAAATTGCTTAAGGGGGCTGATAATTTTCACCTTAAAATGTTTTTTTTTTTTTTATTCAAAACTGCTTTTATTGTAGCTGAATTAAGAAAAAAAAATTATTATAGGAAATACTGTGAAAATGTAATTTGGGAAATAGTTCAAAAAAGAAAAAAAAAAAAAAAAAAAAAAAAAATCACAGGAGGCCTAATAATTATGACTTCAACTGTACATGCATGTGTTTTCTAATAGAAAAAATGAATAGGTTTTTATTAAATGGGAAATACTGTTATCAACAACAAAACAAAAATAAACAAAAATATTAAGAGGATGGGACTGTTTGTAGTTTGTCATTCGTTGCCTATTTATAAAAACAGTGTGCATTACGGTTAATAAAAAAATAGAAGAATATTTAAAAAGTTCTGTATATTTTTAATATAGAAAAATGTTCAAAGCTGGACTTTCCATTTGGTTGTTGTTTTTTATTTGAATAATTAGCAATTGTGTTTTGTGCAATAACTTATATTAATATGTCTCGAAGGAACTTTCTAAATTTTATTATATAATTCAAAGATTTGTGTACTTATTTCTTCTTAAATATGTGAAGGTTGTTGCAGGTGAGGTAAAATGTAAAGGATACCAATAATCAGTCATGTACAAACTGAAATCAAAGTATTTGACCATGTGTGTGTTCAACATTTTTGATAATGTTTTAAAATGTTGTTTTTGTCATCATTGTAAAAGAGATGGAACAAAAAGATTAAAAAAGAAAAAAAATTTTTTTGCATTCAACTTGTCAAGTCTGGGAGGAATATTCTTTCTATGCATTTTAGGGAAAAGCAAATCCATGATATTATGCAAGTTTTGTCTAACCGTGTGTTCAGCTTGAGTTTAGGGTACAGGATTTTAATACGATACATTACATGTATTAAGATTGTTTTAGAGGGCCATTAAGGTGTAAATATTTATTTTAAATTTAGTGGATGAAAATTATTTACACAACTGTTTGAGGTACTTTATTTTACAGTGTCCTTGTTACACATAACGGCCCAATCCCAATTCTATCTCTTAGCCCTTCCCCCTACCCCTTGTTTTGCGCGCTCACGAAGAGGGGTAGGGGTGTCCCAATTCTCTTTAGTTTAAAGGGCTAAGGGGAAGGGCTACAATCCCCTCGAGAGATTTTTCAGGACCCCACTCAAAATCAAGGGGTAAGAAAATTTCCCAGAATACACCAGCTATAAACAGCAGCATGGCTGCACCCGGAAGTCAGGAGATGCGCACATTATTTTTTGTCATTATCACAAATTTTTTAGAACAAACAAACATATGTTTTAAAACATTCATAATAGCATTTGTGTTTTGCCGTCATGTCAAAAAAACGCTAAAATAAAAGCAGCTAAATTTCATCATCTATAATCTATAATAATACCTCTTGTATAGCAGTCCCACAACAAACTTTCACATCTGACACTCAAATACTGTCAGAAATGTCTAGTGGTTGTAAATAACCTTTTTACAGTGTCTGGCATAATGTTAATGTTGTTAAGCTGTGTTTACATATGAATATGGCCATGGTGAAGATACACAGTACAGTTATGAGCTGATATTATACTGTTATGAGCTTATATTATATTATTTTATATTTATTATGATAACATATCATTGCCTTCAGTGGTTTCCTAAAGATAAATACCAAAAAATAACACAACTGAAATAAATACAGCAGCCACGATTGTCGATCTTATATGAAGTAAGAGCTTGCGATGACATATGATGACGTGTGCAGATGTTGTAGTGCTATTTTACAGGTAAATTTTGAAGCCCTTCGCCTTCACACTCTGTTACAAAGGCCAAGGGGAAGGGGTAGGGGAACAAAAATAGAATTGTATCGGGCCTACATACAAGTACTATAGTAATATCAGTATATTATGCATAATTACACCAAAACCTAAAATCTACAGGAAGTTCTTGTAGCTAATTATCATTACCTGGTATGCAAAATAATAATTGCACAGTAACAAGGCCACCTTAAAATAAACGGTAACCAAACATTTTTTATTATGTACATTTATTGTATTATTAAAAAATAATAAAGTTTATGTAGGGGGATGCATTGTGTTTAGTGTTTTTTTTTTTTAAGTTGGACTATAATATTCGCATTTGTTTAATTCATACATAAAGACTACTGGGAGATTGAAAGACATTTCAGTGACATTTGATAATCAGTGCATTTGAAAATGGTGAAAACTTTAAACAAGGGATTTGGTGTATTTTGTTTGTTTGTTTTTGAAGGTGTATATAATTCCATTGAACATTTTGCAAATTGATCTGAGCACGAAGATAAAGCTTAGTCTTGTTGAATATCATTCAAGCTACATTTTAACAATTCACACAACAGAACTTTCAAAAAACATTAGATAAACCATTTTTCTGCATTTTTACTGCATTAAAAAAAGTTAGTCTGTTTTTTTCATTTAAAGCAATAAACAAACTTACCATATTAAAAATACCTAATGCAACATAACTCTACATGTAATATATACTTACACATCCTGGTTATTCACTGACAGGACAACACAGTCTGCAGGGCGTCGAGCACTTTCTCCACACAACTGCTGGTAAAACCGTTCATATAATTCAGGATGCTGAGTTGATACATCATATTGTTCCCGTGAAGCACTTGGTAAACCTGATATTGACATGAAATGATTATTCAAAACAGACTCTTTTTTGTTATTATAATATTAATACAATTTCATTTATAAAAAAACCCATACCTGTTATCTTATGTGATGAATGTTCATAGTCTACTATGCTAGAGTAGTCAATGGTTTCTTCTAAGCTCTGAAAACTGAATATAACAGATAAGCATTTAGATTCATTTCAAAAAATATATTGTTTGCAAAGTAGTATTTGCAAAATTTGTAGTACATTCAGTGTATATTTTGGTCATTAGATTTTCATTTTAGAAACAAATATTGAAAAATGAAAAACGAGTTGTTTTTTGATTTTTGCTTTAAAATTAAGAAACAAAAATTGAAATTCAATGCAATTTTTAATTTAAAAACGTTTTTCATTTTCATGGTGAACAACAGAAAAACAAAACTCAAAACTTGATTTTAATTTTGATTTTGAAAAAAAAATAAAAAATAAAAAATCACCAGAAAATATAAAATCTTATATTCCCAAACCAGATAGGCCAACTCATTCATGGTGACGGAAAGCTGCCACACACAGGCTAGCCTACTATAGGCTATTATTTTTTTCCACTTGATAACATTATAGGGGTATTTTCTTGTTTTAACTGGATTTTGTTAAGACCAATTTTCCTCATTAAGACAACATATTTCTCAAATAAGGGCCGATTATAGGCTATATATTTACTTATTGTTAGCATGTTTTGAATGAAACAACCTTTATTTTGACATTACATGCAAGCATTAGGTTGCTTTACTGAACACTTTTCTGAAAATTAAGTTTTAATATTGTTAAAACCATAATACTTCCACTTGCCAAAGTTTGACTACGAATCATTTCAAGTTAGGGAGGCATTAATACAGTTAATGGTAATGCACATTTCAATAAGTCATAGTATTTAAAAAAAAAAAAAAAGATCAATTAATTTTAACTGAAAGGAGGAGGCATGCTGCACAAACATTCTGATAACTATGACATGTCTTTTAAAAACAGACTATCACTAAGCTTGCAGGTGAGTTGTGTGCGTGCGTCATCACCCTGCTACAGTGGGTCTATCCATCATTTCAAATAGCCATGTGCAAATATAGCTGAAGATTTTTCATACATAAATTGAAATGAGTAAAAAATAGCCTAATGCAATTTATATATATATATATATAGACACAGAAAGATGAGCAATGATTTCAAACAAATGTTCAATGTTACCGTCACTCCTGAAGTGGAAGTGATTTTTAACAATAAACTTTATTTTCAGAAAACTATTCAGCAATGCAAATAATGCATATATCATCAATTATGTTGTTCCATAAAACTGGCTTCGATGAGGAAAATATGTATAAACAAAATCGTGTTATCACAAATACCTTTTATAACATTAGTAAGTGGAAAAAAATAATAGCCTATAGTAGGCTAGCCTGTGTGGCAACATTGCATCACAATGAATGGCCTATCTGGTTTTGGAATATTTAAAAAACAAGTCTTTATTCGTTTTTGTTTTTTGGTGATTTTATTTTTGTTATTCGAAATGAAAAATGAAAATCAAACCTTTTTTTGAATTTTGCTTTTCAGTTTTTTACCATGAAAAAGAAAAACGGGAAATGTTTTAATTTTCGCTTTAAAATTCCAAAACGAAAATCAAAAAAATACTTATTTTTCATTATCTGTTTCTAAAATGACAATTGGGGGTGTCACGATTTCTATTTTTAATCGAAATCGATCGAAATTTATGTTCAATTTCGATTATCGAATCAAAAAATAGAATCGTCGATGCTGCCACGCCCCCATGTCAGCTTGGCTTGCCAAGCGGGAAAAAAACAGGCTTGTTGAAGTGCTTGTTAAACTGCAAAAGCAGGAGACCCGTCGACAGAACTTAAACCCTCTCCTCTTTCAATGAAGTCGCCGGTGTTTAAGCATTTTGGATTTCCAGTGAGTTATGTTGACAACGTTCAACACAGTTTTGCAAGCTCTGCTATGTACATATTACGTACGGTTTCTCCGATAGACAGCACCGGCATCGCGATCCTCCGCCCGCCCCCGTTGCAAATCCGCTCGCGAAAAGTACACACTCAGGCCCTGTTTACTCTGTCTTTGTTTTTAAATGGCATTTTAGAACGACAACGATTTGACATCCACAGTGGCGTGTGGCATTTCTGAGCAGCCCTCCTTCCTCTCTACCTCTGAAAATGCACATCAAGTGACCGCACAGACACAGACGCACACACAGCCATGCGCTCCAGACAGCAGGTCCAGGCAGTCAGAGGACTGCTTTAATCTTTCATTCACTTGTTCTTTGTCATTTTAGCGAACACCTCAGATACTGTTGGCTGGTTCCTGTTGGTTGTGCGTCTTTTTTACCGACGCCATTATAACGACACAGATCACTGCCTATTCACGAGTCCCACAGAAAAAGTGATTGACAGGTGGTAATTATGTGTGTATCTTGCCTTTATTCATTTACTGTATAATTTGTTTGTGGGTAAAACAAAGACCATGCAGGTCAGGTAGGTAAAACGGTAGGCTACAAATAATTAATTGGTCATTAATTAATTAATTATTTATAATCTAAAATCGAATCGAATCATGCCTTTAGAATTAAAAATGTAATCGAATCGAGGATTTGGAAGATCGTGACACCCTTAATGACAATCCAATAAAAAAAAAGATACACTGACCAAGGACACAGATTAGGGGTGTCAAAATTAGTTATTTTTTCAATACACCGTGAAGCAAATGTGGACAATTTGGTATCGGTTAATTGATAGATCATCACCAGTTATTGCGTACTGATGTCATTTATCTCATATGCGCTATGTTTCAGTAGAAGACTATTCAAATGAGGCAAGGGTAAGTTATTGAAATGCTCCATTTACTTAAAAAGCAGACAACTGCACAATTCACTGCATGTGAGCTTGCTGGATAGTCTTTCACCAACACTAAAGTACAGCAGAACCAGTAGGGACTATTTCACTGCTAGAAATGTTTTCTCTCTCACTTTGGACCTCTGGACTCCTGGCCTGATTACAAGGTAATGTTTTCTCTCCTCTATCAACATTAAAGCAATACTTGTGGATCCAGCCAGGAGGTATTTATGCTCATGTTGTCTCCTGTGATTGTATTCGAGTTTTGTTTGAAACATTCAAAAAGAGCGTTTTCTAAATGTAAGAGTGGATTAATGGTATGAGTGAAATTGCATCGTACCAGTGTATACTGGGGAGATTAAATAATGAGGGAGAAGTACATAGACAAAGAAATAATCCCTGACGACATTTAAAGATAGGATGAATAACTATGTATTGCAAAGATACCACAACCTTAATTTCCACAAATGTTTAATATGTTGTTTTTCTGTGACACGTGGCTGAATATAACATGTATTACATGTATGTGTAGTGTGTTCTTTTTTCTTGAACAAAAAGAAAGTTAAATTATTTTAAAAAATAGTGTTTTCTTTGAGCAGGTAATATTAAAGGTACAGTTTATATATCTGACTGCTTAAAGGACTGTATAAATAAAAATATATAATATATTTAAAAAGTTTTAATTCAAGAATTCTTGTGTCCTGAAGAAAATAATATAATTGTGGATGGAAAGCAACATCAATGCACTGAGATATCAAATAGAACCGTATCGATGACCAGATAATCGTAACCGAACCATGAGACCTCTGTATGTTCACATCCCTAAAACAGATATTTCATATATTCTATTTAGCAGATTTACAACCAGTAAAAATGCACTTTGTTTAAATCTTTTTAAAGAATAAAATTGTTGTCACCTCTCAAGTTGCAGATGTTCCTCAGTTCTCTCCTGTCTCACAGGATATGGTGGTCTCCGAAACGATTTGTTAGATTTTTGGCCACTGCATGAAGTAAATTAAACATGATTGGGATAAACATTAGATAACGAATGTAAAATGTGTACAAAATAATAAACAAATAATGTTTATTTACATATTGTAAGTTGCTAGACATAAGAGATTTTGTTTACACAAAGATTGACAGTTTCATTTATTCATTCATCCATTCATTTTCTCTTTAACATAGTCCCCTTATTTAATAAGGGTCGCAACGGTGGAATGAACTGCCAACTTTTCCAGAATATGATGTACGCAGTGGATGCCCTTCAAGCCGCAACCAAGTAATGGGAAACACCCATACACACTAGCATTCAAAAACAAAGCCAATTTAGCTTATTCAATTCATGCTTCATTAATTTATTAGAAAATAACCTTCAATGTAACTTACTCGTGTAAAAAATGCATTGTTAACGTTACACAACACAACAAGCGTCTTTCATTGTTATGATGCTTGAAATGCCTTTTTGTCCGTGTGTGTGCGTATCATACCCTCCTCCTCCGTGTTTTTGTCGTCTGCCCCCGGCTTTTTTTCCCCACGACGACATTTCACCTCTTCTAGATAAATTTCAGTATATCGTTACAGAAAGCCACAGTAAACATAATAAACAAATACCGCGCGGCACAAGATGGCAGCGTTCTGTTTATCAAGCTAATTCTGCATTGGCTCAACCCTAATTTCTTAAAAAATGAACATATGCATATCTACAGTTAAAACAAAGTCCAATATAAAAAAATATTTATTAAAACTATTGCTATTAAAACACAAATCTGAAGCGAATTTCGTCGTACCTTGGCAGAGATACGGCTGTAACGTACTCCTGTGGCTTTTGTTTATCGCGATAAATTGATTAATTTGCAGATGCGTTGTTTAATCTTCGACGTGATCAATACAAAGTGAGATTATTTTTAGACAAAATGTGTGAATAATAGTTGCTAATCCGTGCTACTCCTCAAGGATTCCGCCAATAGACCTGCTAACGCTTCATTCTAGATCCGACTTCCTTTCGTCGAGAAAGAGTATTTATGCCGCCGCCTGTCGGCCTGGCAGACCAACGACCACCACGCAGTACACAAAATGTACGTGAGGCTCAAAAATTCATAATAAAATATTAATTGCTAAAATACTTTTCATTCTTTAATTTTCCTTTGGCTTAGTCCCTTTATTCATCAGGGGTCGCCAACTTAACCGCCAACTTATCTAGCATATGTGTTACACAGCATATGCCCTTCCAAACAATATCCAGCTGCAACCCAGTTACTGAGCATATTTTCTCACTTTTATGACATAGATGTACTCTTTAGTTTTGCTATCTTAACCAAGAATAAAATATTTACATTTATTTACACTGTTAACTACATTTTACATTCATAAACTTACTAATATTAAGCCTAATTGTATGGTTTTGCTAACTGAGATGTGCTTAAAATTACTAGAATCAGAGACGCTTTGAATAAAATATCCCTAAGTTCTTAAAAATTTTGTGAACATTATAATGTATTTGTTTAATTGCTATACATCAGGGGTTCCCAAACTCAGTGCTGGAGAGCCGTTGTCCTGCAGATTTTAGCTCTAACTTGCCTGAACACACATGCTTCATCCAACACTCATAGTTCTAGAAAGCCTAGTAAGAGCTTGATTAGATAGCCCAGGGGTGTCTGATTGGGGTTAGAACTAAACTTTGCAGGACACGACCCTCCCGTTCTGGAGTTTGTGCTCTCCTGCTATACATGGATGTTTTGTACATTTGTGTTTTTTATTCTTACGCTTATTGTGAATTCTACAACCCACAGTCTCATGACTTTGTTGTTTTTATGGTTACACTTTATATAAGATTATATGGTCCATTAGTTCATGTTACTAGATGTATTTACAAACATGAACAAACAATTAGTAATACATTTATTATGGCATTAATTCATCTTTGTTGACTTTAGTTAATGTTATTAAAAGTAAATAACATTAGTTTATTGATAGTTCATGTTAACTCACAGTGCATTGTCTGTTGTTAAGCACAACTTTGGATTTAAATAATACAGTAAATGATGAAATATGACTGATTAAAGCGTTACAAGATTATTATACTTAGCTAATGTTAGTAAATGCTTTAATTAACATAAAAAAATGGCCCGTTATTCTAAAATGTTACCGCATTTTTTATTAGGATGTGCTGTATTTCATTTTAAGTTTGTAAATATGTTTTATTATAATAATTTGAAATCCATAGGCTACAAAATTTCCTTCAGCTTAGTCCCTTTATTCATCAGGGGTTACCACAGCGGAATAAACCGCCAACTTATCCAGCATATGTTTTATACATGCCCTTCCAACTGCAACCCAGCATTGGGAAATGCCCATACACACTCATGCACTACGTTCAATTTAGCTTATTCAATTCACTTACAGCACAAGTCTGGAGCACCCGGAGGAAACCCAAGTAAACATGGAGAGAACATGCAAACTCCACACAAATGCCAACTCACCCAGCCGGGGCTGAAACCAGGAACTTTCTTGCCGTGAGGCAATCATGCTACCCACTGCGCCACCATATCTCCCCTTTAGTTAATGTTATTAAAGTTAAATAACATCCGTTTATTGTCAGTTCATGTTACCTCACAGTGCATTGCTGAAATGTGATTATGTCTTTACAAGATTATTCGCTATAATGTCAGTAAATGCTTTAACTAACGTTAACTATTGAACAACTATTCTAAAGTGTTACCGCCTTTATTTATTAAGACGTGCTGTATTTCATTTTTAAATTTGTAAACATATACCAATTTAAAGTCCATAGGTTACAAAATATAATTTCTAATTGGTAATACTGTTAAGTTTAAATTAATTACTATAATTTTCAAAAACTTGTTTATTTACATTTGGGAGATTGTGATTAAGTGAAGTTTTGCAAACTGATACTGCGGACACATTCAAGTCTGAGCGTGCAAAATTCTGTAGTACAGTGCTGCGAAAAGGGGCGAGATTAAACAAGATTGGACATTAAAAAAATGAGCGATTGCTCCATATTTTAAATTTCTGACCAGAGAGGTCATGTTTTGATCCTCGAATGGTCTGACGCATCCAATGACGCAATTTCGCAGGTCAGAGTTCACCAAGCTTGTACTTTGCAACGCAGCGAACTGCGAAACTTGTCGCATGAGCTTGCGTTACTGGTCTCTCCTGGGACAGCATGCCAAACCTGCTATTATTATCAAGCAATATCTTAGAGTGAGGGCAGAACGATGGCACAGTGGGTAGCGATCCTGTCTCACAGCAAGAAGACGCTGGTTCGAGCCTCAGCTGGGTCAGTTGGCATTTCTGTGAGGATTTTGTACGTTGTCCCCATGTTCATGTGGGTTTCTTCCGGGTATCCAGTTTCAACCACAAGTCCAAAGACATGTGTTATAGGTGACTTGAGTAAGCTAATTGTCCACACTGTACGTGTGTGAATGGAAGTGTATGGGTGTTTCCCAATGATGGGTTGCAGCTGGAAAAGCATCCGCTGCGTTCATTCCACTGTGGTGAACCCAGATTACTTAAAGGGACTAAGCCGAAAATTAAATGAATGAATGTATCTTAGAGTGAACTCTTGAAATAGTATTCTGGAATTCACACATATTACTGTTGAAAAAGAGTAATTCACTCAGATAACAACATGTACAATAAGCAACACATAAACAGACATTTATTACAAACAACACAAATCAGAAAATGAAAGATTCTTAATTCAATCACACTCTCTTATCTTTGGGAGCGCTGGAGATTTCAGTCTTGTATCTGCTTTAGAAAGTTCACATTAAGCATCAGCAGCATAAGGACACTGATATGTGCATTAACCATTGCGGAAATCTTCTGAAATTTCCTCTCATTAAAAATCGCCTTTCGAGACTGATGGAATCAATATTCACTCATTAATACTCAATCTAAACGTTCCAATTTGGCTTAATTTATTTCTAAATTAACTTTGCATCATATGTCAATATAAAATACTATTTAAAAAAAAGAAATCACTGTGTCTTGACTCACCAAGACATTCCGCATCCATATTGAGAATGTGGGGCAATCAACCCAGAACAGATTCAAGTACAATCAAGTCTGAGAGAGCAAAAAATAATGGGTTTTCTGAGGCAGGCATGAGGAAACAAAGTGGTTAAGACACTGTTGCTGTTTCCTGTTGAGATTTAAAAAAAAAGAGAGAGAGAGAGGTCACATATATATGTATATATATATATTAAACATCTGAACAGAGACACACAGTAGTAGACCCTGACCAGAGCTTGAGGGGGAAGAGACTCAAAGACAGAACAGCATGTAATGGATGCATTTGTTCCATATTTAAGCTTTTCCTGGAAATGCAGATTTAAATTCTCAGCAGCCTTTAAACTTTCCAGCTTCTGAATAGCCCTCTATTGATAGGGGCCTTCTTGGAGTGCAATAGTAGTTTTCTCTACCAGTCAATATTTTATTCTCTCTTCTTCCCTCCAGTTTAAAGGAGGATCTACTCCATCCGTCAAAGGCCAGCGCTGTTGCGTCCAATCCTGAGACAGCATCTTGGTTTCGATTGGTCAGGTCGATCTCTCGGACTGAAGGGACTGGACAGGATGGAAGCTTGATGGGGAAAGTCCACATTTAGGGTTGATGGGCTGATGTCAGGACACGTGGGAAATGAGTCTGACTCGTGTCTTGATGTCTTGACGACACAGTGGGCATGTTTCCAGCTGTAAGGCACACTCCATACAAATCCCACTGAAGACGTGACACAAGAAAACAGATAAATCACAAAGAACTTATACAGTAAATAAATCAACACATTATACACATAGATTAGTGATATCAAATTCCAAAAATTCCCAGAATCGATCATCATTTAATTTAAAGATTAATTCATTTTTTTAAAGTTTGAATAAACCAGACGTTGCGGAGATTTTCATTTCAGTATGTTGATGTACTTCCAACTGAAATAGATTATTGAGTAGGGGGGAGCTTCTTTTTGTGCGTCTTTTCTTTGTAGCAAACTAAAACTGAACAAGATGTCCTCGCTGCAGTCTGCAGCATATTGATGTACTGGACCAGGTCTAATTCTAACACAAACACTGCTGTTATTTCAACGGAAATCTCACCCCTCAGCTTTCATTTGGCTGGAAAATGAAAAAGACTGACATAGCACATTTTTTAACTTTTTTAGGTGCACATCAGCAAACACGCAAGGTACGGTACGGCGAGGCGGTTAAAATGGACATTGTAACGCCCACAAATTCAACATCCATGCTACTGCGACGGTTGGGTTTAGGGTTAGGAAAGATGTAGACATTAAGGTTACACTTTATTTTGATGGTTCGATTGAGTATTAGTGGACTGCCTGCTTAATATCTGCTGATGCTGCTTCTTCAACAGACATTTAACTGATATGAGAAACTTTGCAAGTAAATGTCAATTTACACTAAGCCCAACCCCAACCTAACAGTCTACTCATAATCTAATGAGAATTAATTGGTATGTAGATGCAATTCAACCTAAATTTGACATACAAACCATCAAAATAAAGTATGACCGACATTATTTAACACACAATTTAATGTGTTACTTAATAATTAATACAAATAATTAGTGTTTCTACCTAAATCCGCTGGCCCTCGTCCACTATGTATTGGACCTGGTCCAGTATGTCATCAAACTGCAGGCTACAGCAAGGACTGTCTCAAACTGAACCAAAAACACTAGCTATGTTTCCACCCAAAGATGCAAATTAAATTTATGAGCAAAACTGGTATATCACATACAAGATATGCAAATAAAGCAGCGTTTCAATCCAAGCAGTAGTAAAGAAAAAAACGTCACTCCCTAATTAACTGGCGCCAAATATCGACAGTAAAAACTGAATTTGCTGTAATAGGAGAAGCTGTGTGAATCTTTTTTTCATTTACTAAATGACTTGCGCCTCAGAAGACAGTATGCTGATGTGGAATAAATGATTGGTGGCATTTGAAGGCGTAAAACGCAGAGCACAGACGCTCTTGGGAGTTCTGAAGGTAATTAATAGTATAATAACACAAATACTGGAATGATTAAGTAATTTTAGAATGACCAAAACATTTAAGATGTTTTAAGATGATGTGCTCAGCCTGCTGGTTTATTCATTCAAGACATATTCACACACATTATCATCACATGATCTCTAACAAAATCCTATGACTTTTATAACGCACATACTGGAAATTGTTTGGGAAAAGTGTTTCATAGTAGTTTTTATGCTCATCTTTTATTATCGTATAAAAAGTTTATCGTGCTCAGTTATGTGCATACTTTTTTTAATGTGCATTTTCAAAATTGATGCGCATCTTGGCGTTCGCATAAACCATTTTTTAATGCGCATATCCAAAATGCACAATAAAAATAGGAGGATGGAAACGTAGCTATTGTCATTCCGTATCAGATCAGGGTGAACATTTACTATGGGCAGTATGTCGCATTGCTATTAGTGTCAGCAGCACAACATGCAAAAATTGTATTGCCAGTAGTAAACGCCCATTCTGATCTGAAATGGCAGACATAGACACGCAATGTTGTTTTTACAGGTTTTTTGGTGCACCATCTTGTTCTTGGAGATTCGTATGATTGCAGTTAAACCACTGAAGCCACATTAATTTTTTTTCACAATGTTTTTAGCTCCTTTTCTGGAATTTGGACATCTTGAGACCATTACTGTCTATAGAGGATAAGGGAGCTCTTAGATTTCATGTAAAATATCTTGATTTGTGTTCCAAAAATGATCAAAGGTCTTACGGGATTAGAATGACATAAGGGCGAGTAGTTAATTAACAGAATTGTAGTTTTTGGGTGAACTAATCATTCAACGCAAGAAAAAGTAAGATACAGTTTAAGTCAGAATTATTAGCCCCCATTTATTTTTTCCCCAATTTCTGTTTAACAGATTTTTTTCAACACATTTCTAACATAATAGTTTCAAAAACTTATTTCTAATAACGGATTTATTTTATATTTGCCATGATGATAGTAAATACTATTTGACTAGATATTTTTCAAGACACTTCTATACAGCTTAAAGTGACATTTAAAGGCTTAACTCGGACAATTAAGTTAACTAGGCTGGATAGGGTAATTAGGCAAGTTAGACACAATCCCAATTCTATTTTTTGTACCCTTACCCCTTCCTCTTGGCCCTTAAGAACAGAGTGTGAAAGGGAAGGGCTTCAAAATTTACCCCTGAGAATTGGGACAGCACTACAGCACCTGCACACATCATCATATGTCAACGCAATCTCATGCTTCATATGAGATCAGATGACCGCGACTGCTGTAGTTATTCCAATTGTGTTATTTTTTGGTATTTATCTTCAGGAAATCACTGAAGGCATATATATAATGTTATCATAACGATCTAGCGTGGCAATAAGATTGTAACTGTACTGTGCATTTACACAGTGGCCATATTCATCCATGTAAACACACCAAAAACAACATCAACATTATAGCAGACACTGTAAAAAGCTCATTCCCAGCCACAAGACTTTTCTGACAGGGTTTTCGAGTAACATCGAGTGCCAGAATGTTGTGGGACTGCTATACAGGAGTTACGATTATGTATAATAGATCATGAAATTAAGCGGTTTTTATTTTAGCGTTGTTTTTTTAAAGCATGACAGTAAAACACGATTGTGGTTATGAATGTATTAAAACATATGCTTGTTTGTTGTAAAATTTATAATAATGACAAAAAAATTTATTTGTGGATCTTCTTACTTCTGGGTGCAACTATCCTGCCGTTCTGGCTGGTGTATTCCAGGAAATTTTCTTACCCCTTTGTTTCGAGCATGGTCCTGAAAAATCTTCATTCGAAGGGCCATCTACCCCTTCCCCTTTACCCTATGCCTTCAAGCTAAAGATAATTGGGACACCTCTACCCCTTTAAGGTAATGCGCAAAATGAGGGGTAGGGGTGAGGGGAAGGGCTAAGGGGTAGAGAATTGGGATTGGGCCTATAACGATGGTTTGTTCTGTAGACAATCAAAAAATATATAGCTTAAATAATTTTTATTAAATAATTTTATAGCTTAAATAAATAATTTTGACCTTAAAATTATTTAAAATACATATATATTTTAGATATTTGTTTTATTTCGGCTAGATTAAAAATATATTTGAATAAAAATAAGACTTTCTCCAGAAGAAAAAATATTATCAGACATACTGTGAAAATGTTCTTGCTGTTAAACATAATTTGGGAAATATTTTTAAAAAAAAAATAAAAGAGTAAAAGTGGGGCTAATTATTCAGACTTCAACTGTACAAGAAACTGAAACTGTAACTTAGAAACTGTACTTAGAAAGCTTTGCATTTAGGAGAACTATATCTTTGAGGTCGATCCCACCAAATGCACCTTTTCATTCAGAGAACGAGAGGCGCACCACACTGCCTTTTTTGTTGACAAGATAAAAAGAAGTACAGTATGCTTTTGTTGCAAGGCAACGACTTAATCAGCAGCAAATTGTGCGCGAGCGTTGCTGCTGATATTGTTAAAAAAAAAAGAAATATTTAATCATATTTTGACATTCATAATTTGCGAAGTCATACAGCTCCAGATAACTTGAAATAGTGACCACAAGTGTCTCCTCCATCTTTAAAAGTCTATGTAGTCGTCTTGACAACACAAACACTGCTGTTACCTCAATGGCAAGCTCACCTCTGCTTTCATTTGATAAGAATGAAAAAGATTGACTGACAATGCCTGTTTTTTTTCCACTAAGTGTTGACTTTTTCAACTCTAGGCACACATCGCACAACCGCAATAATGTGTGGTGCAGCAGCAGTTTAACAGGAAGAGAAGTGTTCTCGCTTATTACAGTGGAGATTGCTTAAGTTATATTGTTTTGAGTTATTATTAGTTGGTTGGGATGCAGTGACTTGCAGTTGAATATTTTGCAGAACAGATTCACAACTTTTGATGCTCATAAATGATCATAACCGTCATCATGCTGCATGTATTAGGAGGTTTGCTGAAGGCGGCAGTTGCGACTTTAATAAACTACAACAGTTTGCGTTCATTGAAAAAAGTAAGAATGATTAATAAATCCATATCAAACAGTCCTTTAAAAGTGAGGCTGTGTTTTCAGTTTCAGGCTTAGGTGTGCTTTGCACTCACACTACAAGCGTACCACGACAAAGCCCAACCAAAACGCACTGACACACATCTTCCAACCGGGCCAGGGACGGCCAACTGAACCTCGCCCTCAAACTTGTCAAACAAACCAGGAAACACGCATTGACACAGTTCAAATGGCATAGTGTGAGTGCACCCTAAAATTCTTAACAGGCTTAATGCAGGGATATGGGTTACAAAAGGCTGAATGTGTTCCAAATGTCCCAATTCCCCAAACAACAGTTGTTCTTTTCTACTCCACCTCAACCAAGCCCCTGTCCCCATAAAGCCAGTTGTGTAAACACTGATTCTATAAGCTGATCTTTGTACCTGTGCGAACAGGGTCTCAGTTCAGTGTCCGCCATCTGGTCGCAGCAGAGGGTGCAGCAGTTATCTCTGATGCTAACCTGCTTGAGCAATGCTAGGCGTCTGTGTCTGAAATAAAACAAAGGAAGAGCAATTTCAGATACTCACTGCATGAGTCACCTACTTTAGATAATAACCAGTGCATCATTCACATCTATAACGGCCATTGATACTTCACCCTTTGTACAGCAATCTAATAAATGGTGCAAACCTGGGCAGAATGATTTTCTCGTCTGATGCGAGCGAGGCAAACTCATTAAAGGTGTTGAATTTGATGGAGGGGGGATGGCGGAAGGGTTTGGCTCCGAAGTTGAACTCACACTGTTGATAGGACATAAAACTGGCTGCAGCAAAGAAGCCAGACCTGAAACAAAGAAAGCCAAGTGTTCAAAAAGTTCCATCATGCTCGTTTTAAGGTTAAGGAAGTGATCTTCGCTTACGTGGCAGAGAAGAACACCTGCTTCTCAGGAGGCAGCTGGTGTCCGTTAAGGTAGAAAATCATCTGCTTCTTACTGAGGTCCAGCAGGAAGCCTATGGCATCACCTAGAAAGACCAGAGAACACTGATCACACAACGTTGTAATAACAAAATGATGATATGGAATAAATGTAGGCAATTGTAAATAGGTAATCATCACATGCAGATGTTGGGAGCTGAACAGGATGCTCTACAAACCTTCTTTCCAGCAGGGGTGGGAGTGAGGTTTACTGCGAGCGTTGTACCAGATCAGCTGCCTGCAGCCGTCATACGCACACGAGTACTCATCATCTCCAATCCCATAACCCTCCTGTATAAACACAGAGATGTGTTTTCTTACTACAGAACAATTATTTCATTTTTAGAATACATAAGTGTATATAACAGGAAACTGGTCATTTAAAATAAGCTGAAACACCCAGACAATTTTAGTTTGTTATTAGTTATGATTCAAATTATTACAACCCAACGTATCTTTATAAAATGCAAGCATGGCAAGTTTAAATTTATTTGGTAAGTTAAAGTTTATAAATTTACTATATATACTAAAGTGGCATTTGTTAAACCAGTAATAGTCAAGTAATAATACACTACCTGACAAAAGTCTTTAGTCTATCCAAGTTTTAGGAACAACAAATAATGACTTGACTTCTAGTTGATCATTTGGTATCAGAAGTGGCCTATATAAAAGGAAAAGGCCTCTAGATTACACTTTTTTTTTTACCAAAATAAAATTTGATCATGCCTTGATTTTTTTTATTATTAAATTAGGACAGTAAGGTCTGACTTTGCTTAGACAAAAGTCTTGTCACTTAACAGAAATAATGTACAGTATAGAAAATAAAGTCATGGTGCAGTGGAAAAAGCATTATTATTGTGTATGACTCCCATGAGCTTGGACGACTGCACTCATACATCTCTACAATGACTCAAATAACTCATTAATAATGTCATCTGTAATGGCATAGAAAGCATGCTTGCAGGACTCCCAGAGATCATCAACATTCTTCATCTTACCCCAGACATTCTCAATAATGTTCATGTCTGGTGACTGTGCTGGCCAATCCTCGAGCACCTTTTTTACTTTCAGGAACTTTGATGTGGAGGCTGAAGTATGAGAAGAAGCGCTATCCTGCAGAAGAATTTCCCCTCTCCTGTGGTTTGTAATGTAATGGGCAGCACAAATGTCAATACCTCAGGCTGTTGATGTTGCATCCACTCTGCAGATCTCTCGTACACCCCCATTACTGAATGTAACCCCAAACTATAATCTTTCCTTCACCAAACTTGACTGATTGCTATGAGATTCTTGGTTTCATGCAGGTTCCAATAGATCTTCAGCAGTACTTGTGATGAATGGGATGTAGTTCAACAGATGATTTCTCAGAAAAAAAAATCTATCTTCTGCCATTTTTCCAAATGAACAACTAGAAGTCAAGTTATTATTTGTTGCTCTTGCAAATGAGATTGGCAACAAGATCAATTGGCAACAATTTTGTCAGGTAGTGCAAGTCATATTGACCCAACATTTCTGAAAGTTGCATTTCAGAACTAAATCTACTGTCATTTTCAGCACATTGTATATAGTTTGATTGTTTGTTTATTGCTAATAATGACATCAAACTTATGGCTATTGAATGGCAAGATCCACTGTATATACAGTTGAAGTCAGAATTATTAGCCCCCCTGAAATATTAGCCCCGTTTATTTTTTACCCCAATTTCTGTTTAACGAAGAGAAGACTTTTTTCAACACATTTCTAAACATAATAGTTTAGATGATTTATTTTATCTTTGCAATGATGACAGTAAATAATATTTTAATAGATATTTTTCAAGACACTTTTATACAGCTTAAAGTGACATTTAAAGGCTTAACTAGGTTAATTAGGTTAACTAGGCAGGTTAGAATAATTAGGCAAGTTATTGTATAACGATAGTTTATTCTGTAGAATATCGGAAAAAATAGCTTAAATGGGCAGATAATTTTGACTTTAAAATGGTTTTTAAAAAATGAAAAACTTATTTTATTCCAGCAGAATTAAAACAAATCTTGTTAAAAAAAAAAAAAATTCGACATACTGTAAAAATTTCATTTGTGAAATGTTTCTCTAGAAAAAAAATCAAAGAGGGGCTACTAATTCTGACTTCCACTGTACCTTAAGTGTTCATAAAAATATTTGTGCTTTTATAAGAATATTAAAACATGAAGCTAAGGGAGAAATCAGAAATAAAGGAGCTTAATTAAAACACACATGGTTGAGAAACTTGCTGTCCTTGGTTGCCCAGCCAATTTGCATGACGCCAGAGGTGATAACCGTGACCTCATAGTACCAAACCCCCGAATCCACACAGAACGTGCAGCGGACGCTCTCAAATGATGATGCGTCACAACGGGCCTAAAGACAAAGATGACATTGATCTCATTAGAGACATTATATTATGAATATAAACAGCTACTCTTGCACAATAGATGAACATGGGGATTCTGATTGATTCGGTATCTGAACCATTCAGTAGTTTAATAAAAAAAATGCTGTTTGTTTATGATAAACCCGAAATGAATGCGATCTCATTCCTGGTTTAAACAGAATCCTATCTGCCACAAAATCACTACTCTAGAACATTCCTGATGCCCTGTACACGCAGTTGATTTATTTTATTTTCATTTTGAAAGACTTTGTCTTTTATCTGTCACTAAGTGAACATTTTCAATTCTTAAAGGGCCATGAAACCCCCTCGTTTCAGCAGGGTGTTTTCACACCTCTACTTTGGAAAAAGTCAGAAAAGTGGGCGTGTCCAGCTCTGTTTAGGGGGGAGTGTCGGAGGAAAAAAAGCGGCTTGGTATGGGAGTGTCTATTTGGGCGCGCTGAATTTCAGAGTCAAAACACACACCCACAGCGGACAATGTGACTGTGTTTACATGGACATCTGTAGTCGAATTATTTGCCAAATTATTAAATGGTGGACTTTAACTGCAGTTTGGCTCTTTCATTCAGTGAATTCATTAATGTCCCTCCCGACAAACGTGATATTTGATTCGAGGCGCTGCTCTAAGCGTGTTTTTTCATGCAATGTTTGATACCACACGGCGAATGAGAGAAAAAAAACTCAGCATTTCCCGGAAACTTAGATGCACACGGCAGGTAGCGTCAGAAAGCCGCGTGTGTTATTCCGGTCACAAAATCCAACACGAGGTTATAGTTTGGTTGTAACTGTTAGTGCTAAATATTGCACTCGGTGCAATAGTTTGTTTGATACGAATAAAATACGAACTGAATAAACAAAGAGTACTGGTCGCTCACTTACCAAATCTGTAGAGACAGGACAATCACCAGCAACTAGAGCCGCTTCTTTATTTAGAGGAGACTACAATCTGGATCTCAGCGTTTGCAGATGAGAACAGCTCTCAGGTAAACAATAATCCTCCTTAGACACGTAAGTTATTGTTGTCGAGCGTCGCGTACACCAGGGGCGTTGCGAGGGGGGGGCTTTGGGGGCTTAAGCCCCTGATGTATTGTCAAAAGCCCCTGATCTCTTGGAATATATTGCACTTAAATAAAAATATGTTGTATAACATTTATTTTGTTATGTAAGTACTAAAAATTACCACATACATCACGAACATTCCACTTAACGCAGCGTTTGTGTTAGGTAATTAAATCGTCAGCTGTTCAGCAGTACCTGTTTCTACCGGCAGGTGGGAGTGGCTCTGTTGTCACATGGTGTTAAAAAAATCCCGCCACTGCACATCATTCATTTATTATTTTGAGGAGCTGAAGCTAATGAGGTAGTAATACAACTCTTTCGCGAAACTGAATAGTTTTAACTACTGATGAAGCTTGTTTCCACAGTATAAAATGTGTGTAGTTTTGGTGACATGAAATAACTATAATCAGTAAAATGTGCATCATATCAATGTAAATACATGCGAGTAAGTAAAAAAAAATGTAAATTGTACTAGCTTCCTAGATATATTTATATGATATAGCAAGTCACATCTGTTTCTGTAATAGTTAAATCACAGTGAGTTTATGCATCTAGCTTATTATTATATAACTATATTCTACTGTAACATGCTATGTCAGTTTGAATCAAATTATAAATCGACTTTCTTATGAAAATACCTAAAATGGTTGGAAGAACACACAGTTGAAGTCTGAATTATTAGCCCCCGTTTATTTTTTCCCCCAAATTCTGTTTAACGGAGAGAATATTGTTTTCAGCACATTTCTAATCACAATAGTTTTAATAACTCAACTCTAATAAGTGATTTATTTTATCTTTGCCATGATGACAGTAAATAATATTTGACTAGACGTTGTTTAAGACACCTCTATACAGCTTAAAGTGACATTTAAAGGCTTTAAAGGCAGGTTAGGGTAATAAGGCAATTATTGTATAACGATGGTTTGTTCTGTAGACTATAGGAAAAATATATAAAATCTTAAAGGGGCTAATAATTTTTACCCTAAAATGTTTTTTTTTTTTAAATGTAAAACTGCTTTTATTCTAGCTGAAATAAAACAAATAAGACTTTCTTCAAAAGGAAAATATTATCAGACATAGGCTACTGTGAAAATTTCCTTGCTCTGTTAAACATAATTTGGGAAATATTTAAAAAAGAAAATAAAATTCAAAGGAGGGCTAATAATTCTGACTTCAACTGTATAAAACATTTATTGTCGCAGTCGTGTAAATGATCAGTTAAAGCCTTTTTATTCAGATCATATTTTTATTCTACTACAGCAACAGCTGGATGCCTTCATCCATATTAGGGATTTCCTAGAATGTTCTACTACTTTTGTGAAGAATATATATGGAATTTCTGCTCAAGTATGAATAAAACAGGCATTACATGCATTTAAAGTGCTACAGTGCCCACATCACCCTATTTTGAGGAAAACTGAAAAAAAATCCCTCTGAAGAAATTTAAAGTAAACATATTTCTAGCATGTAGATCTTTATTTTTATTTTTTTGTAGCCTTAGCTAGCCTACTATTTTTGATAGAATTGTTATTTTGTAAAAAATAGTGAATTGAATATCAATATTTTGCAAGGTATTGAATTTAGAAATTCCATTATTTTGACAACACTACACCTCAGTTAATCACTCTGTCCAAATGAACATGTTTGTAGCTTTGTATCACATTAGATAACAACTCAAACTATAAAAATAAATCATATTTTCAGATTTGAAGACATGCAGAAAATTACATTTTCAAAAAACAAACAGAAACTTCAAATCAGGAGGAGATAGGAGGCTCAAGAGGCATGATATGGCTCATAACAGACTAGTTTTTTTCCTATTTGGATTTTACAAGTCTTAAAAACCCTTTATTTATTATTAACCATATTTAATCATGTTAATAAGATTAGAATAGGTATATTAGTGCAGTGAATTAAAACTTCTTTTTTTTTGGGGGGGGGGGGGGGGGTCTTTGGGGCTAAGCCCCTTATCCCTTTCAACCCTAGCAACGCCCCTGGCGTACACTGTAATCCACGCGCGAGTCTGCGCTCTCACAGAGAGAAAATGAAAACGAAACTTAACTGCAGAAAACTATAAAAGCAACACTTCACGCTTGTTTTGCCAACACAACGTGGCGTCTTTGCCGTCTACACTGTGACAGTAATGAATATTAATGAAGTTGCACAATAGAGCACGCTGATTGGTTTGAACCAAGCCTTACTCATGCATTAATGCAACACACTGTAAGACGTAATAAGACTCACTCTGGCACAGACGCCCAGTCTGCACGCTGGAATACAGGCTATTATGTCATGACCGTGACGCAGCTTCAAAAATTCGTTTCAAACAGGAAGTACGAATTTGCTTGAAATAACGCAAAAACAACCAATTTACACTTTTTAGTGAAATATAGGTGTCCTAATAGTGTTTTTAGCAGTGTGGGACACATATACGACTGTCAACAGCTCAAAAAATGTGTTTTGGTGTTTCGTGACCCTTTAACACACCATGCATTACCTAAATGAAGAATTTTCACATAATTAACAATATTGGTTTGTCTCTCACCTCCAGTCCAGTAGGAGAGATCTTGAGATATTCACTGACGTCATTACTGTTCAGCATGGCGTTGATGTTGCTTAAGTTGACTTTCTCATAGGTAAACTGGCGCCCCTCTTTAATGACTATGAGCCAAAGAGAGACAAAGATAACATCAGTCAAACATGCCACAAGACTTCAATCTACAATACAATTATAAAATGCAAACAGTTATTACTAAAAATCATTTATATTAAAAAGACTTCAGATGTCCTGAGAAACATTTATTTTCTTTGTATCAATAGCAATTACAAATACTAAAAGTCCTGATTACCCATCAAAACGTACTCACAGAGGTTATCAAGACTCCACTGAGCGCAGAAGCCCACTTGGCGCTTTAGGTAATCTAAGTTATCTGCCCAGGATTCCAGAACAGACAAACGGTCACTGATACATGACTCTGACACCGTTAACTTGTTCTCACCTGAAACGAATAATGAATCATATCAAACGCACCATTTTCGGAAAGATTCCTGATAGAAATATTGATCTGACATCAGTTAGACTTACTGGTTTGTGAGAACTTCTCTAAAGCAATAAGAGCAAACAGCATAACAGTGGGGTGGGCTTCAGAACTCTGAGGAAAACCAAAAGAACTGAATTAAACAGTTGAAAAAATTACTTATGTCAAATATGCAAGCAAAACTATAGATTTACAACTTTGAAGATTTAAAAGCATTTCTTACTCTAATCAATATAATAATAATTATACATTAATAATTATTAATGTTATATGTAATGTATGTGCTAATTTCTGTAACATCCAATCAACCATCCGAGGAAAACAGAATAATAATACACAAATACTAGAGATTTTTGCATCCAATAGCAAATACAAAGTCCAAGTTATGGTGATCGGTCGATACTTCTGATACTTCAAGCATTATAATGCATAAAGCAGATTTTCCCACTAAATATGAAACTTAAGTAGAGATCTCACCTTACCCAAGAGAATTAAGAGATTGTTGCATATAATCCCTTAAATATGTCTCTTATAACCATTAGTGTGAATATGTCATGTTTAGTAGCAGCTTATAGATAAAAAATTATAGATAAAAACAAATAAAAAAATTGGTAAGAAAAATCATTGACAATGCAATTTAGAAACATTTATGAGAGAGGGGGATTTGCACTCTAGATATCTTTACTGCTCTATACATTTAACCCATCAACTGTAAATCTTGATTAGAAAATTGAAGTGCCTTTGCAATCTGTTCTCTTGGTCAACATCCACTTTAGTCACCATAATTTGCGGGCCTCATGAAGCTGCTATGAATATGCGGGAGACTACCAGATTTTCCAGCAAAGGTCATAGGGTTGGATGTGACTCTAGACAGGGGTGATCGCTCCACTCTTATCACAACAGCTCAAAACAACAACAAAGAGACCATCACTTAATAAACTGTATAGGGGTCGCAACCTATTCATTAGTGGCTGTGTTTGAGTGCAGCGATTGCTCACGCCCACACGCATCATTTATCTCCTCATGTGTTCTAGCTCTGCCAGGTGGATGTAAACCCATAAACAAACATTTCCGATCAGTTCATGAGATCGGTCAGATTGGCAAGTACCGATCATGTCAAAAATGTGACTATCAGCCGATACCGATATTCGGTTGATCGATTGGAGCATCCTTAACAAATACACCTCATTGAATATGAACACATAGACATCACCTATATAATATATAATAACAGGTTAATTATGTTTAAATATGATAACTTTAACTGATAAAGTTCTTAGTAATTGAAGTTATTAGCAACTAATAAAGTTATAGTAAGTAATAGTAACTTATCTCTTTTTCGAATGATACAACGAGCAACTTTTGTAAAGCTGCCTTCAACAATAATTAATGTGAAAAGCATTATACAAATAAACTTGTATTGCATTAATTTGAATTAAATCTATTTCCTTTTTTTCATTGGACTAAAAAAGCAGATGGATAGTATGAATGTTACATTTATGAGCCAAATGGAAGTTATTTAAAAAAAACAATCATGTTTGTCAAATTCTGTAATAAAACAGTCTATGCTCTCACCAAACTCTCAAGCAAGTACTCCAGAGTTCCAGGGCTGAGGAGTGCAATGCTTGCTGGACCTGTAGACAAAAGAGTAAAAAGATGAAGTACACCAGTATTAAACAAATGATTCCTATGGGCAGCATGTTTGACCTTAAAACAGAAGCATGGATCTTCAAACTGAGAACTGGACTGTGTGTGTGCGTGTGTCTCTCTCTCTCTCTCTCTCTGTGTGTGTGTGTGTGTGTGTGTGTGTGTGTGTGTGTGTGTGTGTGTGTGTGTTGCAGCCTCAGCATGGCTGTCAAATCACAGGTCTCTTAGGGAGCCTACAGCAAGCCCAAGCATGACAGCTCTTTACAGACTGCAAACTCAGCTCTTTAGCATCAGAGATATAAGCTAGTGCAAAGATGATGTAAAACGAGATGCAACAGATCTCAAATTCCTTTCAAAGAATCCAAAATCCTGATGTTTTATTTGCAAAAATAAAAGGGCATAATTACTTCTGCGACAGCTTCGGAGTTAATATAATTTATGCTGTCTTGCCAATGTCCTGTCATGGCAAACTTAGAATAAAATGACAAAAGGTACACAACGAAAAAAGTTTTATATATAAAAATTAAATCAAATGAACACTAGATAAAAGTTTTAAATACATTCAGGTGATACGTTTAGAAATAGATCAGTTAAACACAGTAAAGTGACAAGAAAGGGAGGAATACAATAAATAGTTATGTGTAAGTCTATCTAGAATTGAAATTAGGATGTAAAATAACCTTCTTATACTATGATTTATTTCATAGAACTTATTTTCATCCCATTCAAACTGTCACAGGTCATTAATATTACAGTTTTTTTGATAGAACTAGAATCCAACACAGTGAAATTTTCAGGTTGAATGCATATTTTGCGGTGATATTTTCTTTTTCTTTTTTTGCTAAAATAACGACAAAATTATAAGAAATGGGTATAACCTAGTTGTATTCCATTAACATGGTTTATGGGGACATCATGCCTTGTGAACCTAATAATTAAAAACACTTCAAATTAACTGGGTATTTTGACATTAAAATGTGCCATAGGTATTCTGTAAAGGTTGGGTTTAGGGATAGAGGTAGGGTAAAGCCATTTAATAAGTGTTTTTATATTATAAAATACTATACAGCAGTAGAAAGTCCTTGTAAACCATAAACAAAAAGCATGTGTGTGTGTGTGTGTGTGTGTCCCTCACCAGCCAGTTTCTCAGCCAGACAGCCCAGGACTGCTGTGGTGTTGCGGTGTTTAGCTGGTATGAGGGCATCCTGACGCGCCACAGCAGCACTCAGATTCAACATGTCTGACAACTTCTGCAGAGCATCCTGACAATACAATCAATCTTGAATTTGTAAATTGCTGAGGTAATAAAAGCACTGAACTCAGAAAGAAACTGCTTTATCTTATTATTGCCACCTTCTCCATCAGAACCCCCCCCTCCCCCCCCCCCCAAAAAAAATGTAAAAGAATTCAGAAGTATCCTGATGATGAGTACATTTACACAAACATCAACACATGCCTCCCATACTCACCGAGGCTGCATGCATTTCATCAAAAACACAGTAAATATGCTTAAATAATTCTAAAATGCTGATTTCAAACTAATATATTTCTTATCAGCAATCCACAGTTTTTCTGCTTCATATATTTTGTGAATATAACACAATTAAATAACATTTCTTCAGAATTCTTCCATTAACAAAAAAAAACAAAAACAGTTTTTTTTAGTGTTGCTCAACTTGATGCATTCTAGCTGAATTAAAGAAGATTTTTTTTATTATTATTATTCTAAAAGAAGTTCTATTATTTTTTGTATTTGAAAATTGACAGAACCAAACCAAACAATATCAAAGCACCCACCTGCAACTGACGCATAACCAGAAGCCATTCATTTTCATTTTAGTTTCAGCATAAAACTGGGGAAAACAAATTAGTACCAGAAGTGCATCTTCTGCTGGTACCATTTAGATAGTAAGGAATATCACTTAAGTTAGGTATATCACTCAACAAACTCATAATACTAGGAAAATTGCTGTGGCTCCATTTTCAGAGTGCTTGTATAAATAGAGCTGCATTAGTGTCCATTAAGAAAAACAGAGTTGGAAAATGAATATCGCAGTCAATGTTGTAAGGTAATGTAGATGTGAACTCACTTTGGTTGGCAAAGGGCATTCGTCCAGTAGCAGTGTTATTACGGCTGGTCCTAGAGGGTCATCTAGAGGAATTACTCTAACTAAAGACTGCACCACTTCCAACCAGCCATCATCTACAACGTGGAAAAACAGAAACAGACATTCAATCCATAGGAAATGTTTTATGTATGCGTATTAGAACCATGCATTTAAACAACATTAAAAAATACTAAAAGGGTTTTCCAATAGCTATTATGTAGACGACAATTGTGAGCTAATAGATTACACTAAAGTGTGCAAATTAAGCATTTGGTTTGTAAAACCATTACTGAAAATGCACCTAAATCGACTGAAAGATCATCTGTACAACACTGATATGCACTCCAGGATGTGTTGAACTCAATCTTAAGGCCCACAGTAGCATTTTCACCAGTTTACTCCTGCACGAAAGCTCTTAGCAGCCACCTGACGCCACAGAGTCTCAAACCATAACATGCAGGCTCAGCTCGAAGCAACAGATGTACATATAAATAAAATCAAGAGTCACAGAGGCTTTGGCAATAGCACAAGAGAGTCAGGCTGGCGACCCACACATGACCTTGCTAAATTTTGACCGCTGATCCACATACAGACTCAAACCAGCCCTCAAAAATATAACACCTCAGTCATGTTTGCTGCAGGTATCATCTAGGAGCAAATAAAAGGAGTCATTTTAAAATGGAAACAGCAATGCACTGCCCCTAGTAAAAAAAGCAAAAGCAGTGTAGCTAATATTCACTCAGTGTTTCAGTGTTTGTTTCTACAGTCATGAGGACACTCTGAGGGACTTTAAAGTCTGCAGCTCAGCCCTGACTCTCTAACTTCAGTCACTGCAAAAGAACGGAGCGATGGCATGACAATGGCAGCACGGGGCACGAGCCAAACATCAAAAACAGCCGTCACTAATACCCACAGAGCTTCCACAGCTTCCGCTGTTAGATTAACATCCTAATAACTTAATCAGTAGCCAGGGGGTCACAACAAGCTGCACTTGTTCCCCTGATGGAAAAAAAAGCAGCTTGGAACCAGGGAGTCAATGTTTGGCTGATTCCCTTTGATTATTAGCTATGTGGTTTCTCTAGTGACAGTCTTCTCATTTGAACTAAATAAAACGGAAACAATAATCTATTTGCATTTTAGTAGATCAAGAAGAATACTTAATGTTACAGCTCACACACTCGCCTGGAATGAGGAGAAAGTAATGAAGGTGAAGAGTTTAATGTGCACATTCTCAGTGTTGTCATTTACCTATGGTTAGAAATCATATTGTGTTCACATCTAGAGGTGTGATGGTATTTAATCATTTAATATGTATATTATGGTGATAATAAATGAATGATATTGTTATTGTGGGCAAATCAAAAATACCAAGAATAATTATTTATTATTTAAACGTTTATAGTGTCATTTATAGTGAATATTCAGACTGTTGTTTTGGCAGTGGTTGTTCATCACAGCACCAATTGTTTGATCTAAGAGGTGGTGTATTTTCAAACATTAACACTTTCACATGTTAATCTGGCCTGTGACACGCTGTGATATTGATTGAATATGTTCTATTTACAGGGTTATTGTTTGCTAACACTGTACAATAAGACTCCATTTGTTAACATTAGACAATTTAACTGAGCTTATGATGAAAACTACAAAGCATTTTTAAATCTTAGATTATCTTAATTACTTAGACACTCCCTAATGATTTATTAAAATAAAAAGTCATAATTGTTTTATTAAATGGAGTTAACAACTAATAAAATATAGCACAGTAACAGCAATAATAGTTGTTAATTCCCCATATTGATTTTAATGCATTAAATGGTGTTTACGAATGAGACCTTAATGAAAAATCTTACCTATTGTTATAACATGCATATGATTTATACATGTATTGACTATACCTGCTAAAATTACCAATTTTGCAGCTCAATATCGCAATAATACTAAACATCATGATTAAATCTAGAGCAATTAACTGCCACAAGAAACACTTGATACCATCATAAGCCTATTTACGGCTGTAATGATTAAAAAAATGTAGTGCCTATAAAACAAAGATGGCACCAGACAGTTAAGTTTCAGGGATGTACATCAAATACCCCTGGAGACTAGATTTACAGTTCTTAGCCCTTCCACAGTAGAAATCAAATATTTTTTAAAAAGGCTGAAAACCTATAACCACTGACTTCCATAGTAAGAAAAACAAAGACTTTGGTCAATGGTTACAGGTTTCCAGCTCTCTTCAAAATATATTTTCTCAACTGAAGAAAAAAAGTCAAACAGGTTTGTAACAAGTAAAGGGTGATTAAACGATCACCGTAAAAAAAAATATTCTTCTATATTTACTCACCCTCATGTTCAAAATAATCATGCATTTTTGTTTCTTCTAATGAAAGAAGAGATTCTGAAGTATGCTGGTAACCAAACAGTTTTAAAAGCTTGACCACCACTGTATATTTTAGTCCATTCAGTGGAAGTCAGGAGATCACTGTAAAAATTGCTGAGTTCCACACAATTGATTTGTGTTGGAACAACATGAAAGAAATTAAGTTAACTTTGTAGTTTGTACAAATATGTGTGAATTAAACGTAAAAAGTTGTCCCCCAAAAAAACAAGAACTGTGTTGTTTTGGCTCAATTTAAACAAGTAGTTTAAACAAACAGCAAATGCCATTTTTGAGTGATGACAAAATTTTCTATTTAGGGTAAAGTGTCTGCATCTGTACTGCATGTTCCTCTTTACTTCCATTAAATGGAATAAAAATATACACTCGCTGTCAAGCTGTCAAAACTGATTGGTTACCAGCATACCTCAGAATCTCTTCTTTCATTAGAAGAAACAAAAATGCATGAATATTTTGAACAACATGAAGGTGAGTAAATACAACAGAATATTCAATTATGAGTAGATGTACTTTACCTTTTAAAGATACCCTATTGTTGACAATAGCCAGTTTATAAGTGCTTCTCATTACAAGAGCTGAGTTTACAGAAAACCAAGACATGTTTACTGCAAACCAGTTTTCAGCTTGTATGTAAAAGTATAACACATGCAGTGTGTAAATGCACTAATATTAATAACTAAAAGTCTTTGCTAATAGATGCAAATGCAAAACATCAGTGGATTTTCATTTTCTGCCTCCTGTATTTGCATGTGTATGAATAGAAGTAGGGCTGGGCAGTGTGATGTTATAGATATTAAATTCATTGTCAAGCACAATAGATTATTTTTTATTCAATGTAAATGCCGACATGTAGAAAGAAAAAAAAAGTGGGAGTGGCCAACTCATGTGCAGTGTGGGTCAGCCAGAGCTGGCTGGAGCCCTGATAGTAAGATCTGCTCAGCAATCGGGGCGAACTTTTGAGAGATCATTTAAATTAACTGTGTTCGATTAACAACTTGAAACTGTGAATTTAGTACAGAATAAGTCTGTGTATAATATCCATCAGTAACCTAAACAGTAGCACTATAGCCTCTGCCGAATAATAGTCTCCCACAGGGTCATAATAACCACTTTGTTACACGACATTAGACTAGGAAAGCGTAAACAACATGAAGTTGGTATATTGATATACCAATACATCAAACAAGGTAGCCTTGTTTGATATATTGGTAACAATATACGAAAAAAGATCAACTTATTCAGGGTTTCTGCAGGTTTCACCAAGATAAAGACTTTCAAATGGCCCAAATGAATAAGATTTTTGTTTTCCCTATCAAAAATTATTATTATTATTTAACACATTTTATAAGACAATAATGATTTAATATCAAAAATGTTTACTTCTTAGCAAAATATTTAAATATTGTGTAAAAACAAGCAAGCTCAACTTGTATTTAAAGACTTTGTTTTCCAAAATAAACGTTTTAAATTTTTTAATGATTTTTTAAAATAAATTTAGTTAATTATAGTTTTTAACTTTGAACGATTTATGCACAACATGTCCAGGTCTTGTCCAAGTCGGTGGCCTCAGCAGTAAATACATGGAGTATTATTAAACAAATGTTATTTTAAGAAAATATTAAAGTAAATAGAGTTAATAATTACTTTTTTAATAAAAAGTTTTATTGAGATGGATTGTTAGGGTTTGTATGGGTTTTTTACTAGATTGGGTAGCAACACAAGAACAAATTAAGACATGTTTATAAAAAAAAATTAAACCTACAAGACACTGTTTCAGGCATAAAATTTAGCTTTTAGATTTAAGACATTTTAAGACTTTTTAAGACCCTGTGGACACCCTGTTATTGACTGTGACACCAATCGTACAGAGCTTAATTCAGTATCTGCTCAATTAATCCTTTTTCTTTACAATATCACTTCCAACAAGCGACTTTCTGGGTACTAAAGCCTGCCCTGTGAGAAATTTATTCTGAAAAAAAAAAAAGTTCTATGTAGGAACAAAGCTTTAATTGTGGTCACAAAAATCACAAGTCTTGTTACTCATACCATGACAAAATTTTGGTAATATCGCCCACCCCTGAATTGAAGCGATTCAAAAAAAAAAAAAAAAACAGTCAACACTCCTTACGTATTAATAATCTCATGTAAAATGTGACCTAAATAAGTGTATATGCATCTACTTATTCAAGCCACATGTATAAGCTTTACTCCCTTCACTAGCAATCTCAAGAAACTTGTGAGTCCTACCACCCATAAGCAAACAATATTAGATGAAAGGATTAACAGAAAGCGAATTCTCCGAATTAAAAATGCTGGAGAATCCTGAATGTCTTTCACTCACCAGTCTCTGCCATCTCGTGCAGTGTGATCATGGAATATGGCGGCTCTTGATCACTGAAACACAAAAGAACAAATATAAAAGTTAAATGGCTAAAAAGTAGAGCAACCTAATGGAGGAAATACTTGCCTGTGTGCCTCATGCCCTGAGAACAAGAGCGTGTAAGCATCTTATTTAGTCCTCGGCTGCTCTAGACATTAGTTATGAAAGCCTAATGTTATAATGGCTGATTGTACAGTGCATGACGGATGGCTATTGGAGGGCAGACTGCCGCCGCCGGGGTTGTTTTGGCTTTAGGGTCTATGCATCCATTTTGCAGGCTGGGTCTGTAACAGTAAATCTAAGCAGCGATAGCAAAAACAAATCCCTAGAGGTGCTCTCGGAGGGAGCCCGGCACGATTAAAACACCACCAGAGACATTTAAGCAGGGACAATAAATTTGCCTTGACTCTGCAGTGACACAGGTGTGGATCATTTGTCAGTCATAAATCAGTGGTCGGAGAGGTACTGGGGCGATGTTTTAAAAACAGCAAATGAGGACAAGGAAAAGACAACTATGAGGGTGGTCAAAAAAAAGGAGAAAGCGAGAGTGTGAGAGAGTATAGAGAGGAGGTCTAATGCCCCCAGCCACGGGTGTCTGACTGCTGTGTGATTGTTGTGTAACGGTCACACAGGGATTTGTTCTAGTCGGAAACACACTGATTTTCTGTTTAGTTGAGAACAGTACCTCAACTATTCATTTTCAATGCCCTTTTCATATTGGATAATAATATGGTGTTGTAAGCATTTAAAAGAATTATCGTTTGAAAACCTTTTTACAAAGATGCTAAGAAAACAACATGCAGTGTTGTTTTTATTTGACTGTTTCTTACCTGAATACTACTCTTAAGCCCAGGTCAGATCACTAAAATTTGTGAAAATTTTGGCACGATTTTCTTGATCTAGGGTGTTGCTGGCAAATGTGCATCATGGCACAAGATTCAATCGTTTCTTTTCAAGTAATGTGAGCTCATGACAACTAATACCATGTCTGTGACGCGTCACGACACCATCGCAGAAAGTCTAGCATGTTTAATTTTTTTTCTCGTTCTTCACAACAAGTTCCGTCTCGTGGGTGACAATTGGTAATAAGAGCACATCATTTCTTGGTCATCTCAGAAGGTGCTGTCGTTAATGCACTGGTCAGGTAATCAAAAAAATAGGCTGTATACTTATGGGTGAGTCACAGGTGATCAACAAACTTTAACTATCTTTTCTTAAATATTAAGGTAGTTTAAGCAATTTTATTTGACAAACTGACACAAATATGCAGACAACTCCATTCTCACAATAAGTTTCTGAGTTCTCATCCTTCCAATTGAATTTGTTCTTCCGAGGTAATCTGGGAACATGTTTAGTTGTGCGACTATATTGTAAAAGCCTTTTCTGCTTATTCAAATGAGTCATTAATAGTAAAAACAGTTTAATATAGGCTTCACTTTAATTTTATTAAGGCTAAATTATTATTTTGTTTAACAACCAAAAAACCTGTCATATATTTGCTAATTTTTTAATATGTCATTGTTTTAAAGATTACATTTTGAGCATCGTTTTTTTCTTTGCTGTTAATGTGCTTTCATTTTCTCTGTCTCACTGGTAGCAAGTTCAGGTGAGTGAGTGTTTAATAAGAAACCCATGGCAGGAAAATATACATTGTAGATTCAAAACAAATATCCTAATATTAAAAAGGAATCAAAAGTTTGATCTTATCCATGTCATAACAAATGCCCTTAAATAATGTAGTTATTAGTTGTCAGCAAGCATCAGTGGTTATTGAAATTTTTGGGAAATAACGCTTGTCGTAGATGTCACAGGATGACTGATTATGAAGGAACGTGTAGTCTGGCATATTTGTGACCCATGACAAATCAAAATTTTATCAGGGAAAAAAAAAACAAAAAAAAAACGCATAATCTGGCAAAAGTGACTTTCTTAACTGACAATAAAAATTGTATAATATGACCTGGGATTTAGATTGACTTGAAAATATGCAAGTTTTTTTGTATCAATGTTTCCTTTAAACAGTAAAGCTTGATTGCAGTAATTCATTAACAGAAATAATAAAAAAAGCCTCATTCAGCCTTACAGTTACAGGTGTCATGTAAAAAAAAAAAAAACAGGCCGCCAAAGGATGTGGTTGAGCAACAATATATATTCAAGCCACAGAGAAAAAGAGAAGCTGATGCTCCCTTTTTTGTCATTTATGCATTTTTCATTTAAGTCCAAACACTGAGAACACAAATAAGAAAATTTGAGAAAATAATATATATCAGTTTCCTGCCAGGCCGTTTATTTCCCCTAGCCTCTCTTCAGGAAGTGGCCACACACTGCCATGTTCTCCATGCAATAATGCAGGCCATATTAGACATCAGGTTCAGAGCCACGCAACCTGATGCACAGATAAAACAACTTCACTTTTAAAAAGTGATCATTCATCATTAGATAGCAGTAGGTCATCAGTGTAGGAAGGTGTAAGAACATGTGATAGAGGAAGAGTGACTGGCGACTCTGAGATCAAGCCAAATTGTTAAAGGAAACATGAAGAAACTCTTGGTTATCACAAGCTGCTGTCTTGGGCAATACATTAAGATTAAATGTGGTGCTGTGTGAAAAAATGAATAAATAAATAATAGCACGCTCATTACAAAGCTCTGCCAGGCTCTGCACACTTAAAGCGGAATCATTTTAAAAGTTTAAACAGACGGCGTGGCATCCCTTTGGTAGACAATAACACTGAGGTAAAAAAAATACACATGACACAATGCAAATGGATGTTGAATAACAAGTGGATGCTTTTAGCCAAAGATGGAGTGATGTTATTGCTGACACACATGAATATAAGGAACTGAAATTGATATGATGCCCATGATTCATTCATAAACAGATTTAATAACAAATCTAAGCAGATCCCTCCTACGGGAAAGGTTCACTCACTTGTCTACAAGAGTCCTGATGACGGCCAGCGTGTCTAGTACCAAACCGTCCACGTTTTGTTTTTTCCGACGTGGCTCGTGTGGCCCTCGACCTCTTCTGGGTGGTCGAACCGGGTCCCTGGGCCGACTCCCTCTGGCCTCCGGTGGATCAGACACAGAGTTATCCACCCGCCTGAGCTGCCTGCGAGAGGCTGATCCTTCCTCCACGTCACTGTCCTCCCTGCACACGCAGCTGTTCCCCATGGCTCTGCCGGACGAGAGGCTGGCCCAAAACTGCACTGACTGCAGCTGTTCTACGGTGAGTCGGAGAACCCGCACGAGGCTCCTGGTGGCACAGAATGCAATCCAGGTGGCTACTATCATATCATTGGAAGGACTTTAGTGGGTGTCTCGGTACGGGTCGCGTAGACGTGTCGGTCATTGCGCTACTGCAGACCATCAGCATCCAGAGACGAACAAACAAAACTGATGGAGCAGTCAACACACATCCTACAGCCTGGGAGATTGAAGTCCTGAAAAAGATTACACAAACTATTTTCAGTGTGGAAAGGAAACATAACAGTGGCAAATGTGCAAAACAAACAAAATGTTCAGAGGGCCCAGTTCTGACTGATATATTTACTGAAAAATTATATGAAGAGATCACTTGAAAACTTTTAGTTTCTTTGAATGAACTGGATTGACTGGGTCAACAAACATTGACTTGTTTGAGTAAAACGTTAATATTAGTTTAATTGTAAGGTCTGAAAATACTTCAAAACTCAAATAAAAATATTGTCATTTAGAGATGATTTTCCTTCAGAGAACAAAAATTAACACATGTAACTGGAAATCAAGGTTATTTTACCAAATACTGTTGTCTAAAATAAACACAAACATGTCGTTTTATGCTCTAAATGACAGCATTTGCATTTTCAAATTGTAGGAAATGTCATCAATAAACTGCGTTGAAAATAGTTTAGATAGACATATTCTGTAAAGCAAAATAAATCATAAAACAGCAGGCAGTTCTAATTTGTGTCCATAAACAACAGAAATACTTTTGTAAGATCTGGGATTGTCAGTGTTAGCATACGCTAACTAACAGTTAGCACACCAAACAACTTTACAAAACCCCCATTCAAAACACAGCAACCCACTCAGACTTGAAAGAACACTGGGCAGTGTGCTCTTAATACAATCAGTGACATTTACAAACAGACTGAAAGCTTATTAACAGTGTTGTCATTCCAGTAAATTAACGTCAAAAAAACTTGAGAATCCATGGCTGCGTTTCAAACCCTAGCGAGCTGCCTACGTAGGCAGCATTTAAAGGGATAGATCATGTACAAATGAAAATTCTGCCACTGGGACTTGCAACCCTTAAAACTTTCTTTCTACAATGAAACACAACAATTACACATAGATTAAGACTGGCAGTGTCAGCCACTATACACTTCTATCCATGAAGGTTCGTAATAAAATTCAACGGTGACTCAGGCTGTCATTCTTTCTACTGTCTACTACATGTCGCCTGACTTACTTATCTGACACTTAAAAACAGAATATATCTTTGTCCAAAAGTATCATCATGTGACTGTTATTCTGACAAAGCTGTCTAAAAGGGCAGTTCGCTAGGTCTTGAAACACAGCCTCTTTCATCATGTCAGAAATTATCGCTAGCAACCACATAACTAGCCACACCTCCAAACAGATGGACGAAACAGCAGTTTAAAGCCCTTCTTTGACTTGGCACATACACGAAAAAGCATTTTATAGTTAAACCATGTGTATTTGTCAGAGACTAGAAATAACTCACCTGGTAAAGCGGAAAATAGTCGGTAAATGCAGCAGCACAGATCCGTAGGCCGAACACAAAGACTACACGGGAAGTGTGAGTGTGTGCGCTTTACTTCTCAGCAAAATGACTCGTACTCGACAACACCACCACTTTAACAATCAGCATATTGTCGAGCCGCAAACAAATACAGAGCGAGCCGAAAACTAAAGACGAAACTCAACGTTGGGCTGAGAAGTGAAAGCATGAGGACTGGTTAGAATCAGTGTAAGATAGCCGGAGGATCAACGGGAGCACTCGGTGTAGTGTAAATGATGGGAAGTCCGACTCACTTCCGCGAAACGGTTCTTTTGAATAGTTCGTTTCAAAGAACCGGTTGAAAAAAAAACGATTCAGCTGTTTCATACGTCAGAACGTAACTGCGTCATCGTGCAGTCTGTGGCTTAAACGTTTCAACTAATTAATTATTGTTTATACTTATTAATTAATGTTAATTAATATGAGTTTTTGCTATATGCAAGTTTGTTGCGTCGAAATTCACTTAAATGTAAACACGATTCAGCTTCATTTCAATAGCAATGTTCCATTTTTATTCATTAATTACATTTTTGGACATAATCATATGATATTTACTAATTCCATTATGATATGTTTAATATTACGGTGCTATTCTTGCCCTGAAAAGATCCGTCCTAACCGATTCAATCCGGTGTCTTGTGAAGCGGTTCATTAAAAGCATCACTGCTCCTTGTGTGTTGTTGCACATTTCTCTCTCCAGCACATGATGCTGGACTCAATCCCCCCAGCAACCAATAAAACAATCATGTTCTTCTCAAGAGATGGAGTTGTGCAATTATTTGGTCCTTGTGTAACCTATTTTTGCTTTAGGTTTAATTCCCTGCATTCGCTGTTTTAATAACACCAAAACTGGTATTTAGTTAGATGTTGCAGCCAGCCCGAATTCAAATGGGTTCAACACAACATATTATTTAATACATATTATTTAATGTGTGGAAAATATCAGGGAATATTTTTGCTGCAATATCTTGACATCTTTGATTTTCTCTCCTACATCTAATCAAAAAACGAGTCAAATCGAAGAAACTCATTGATTAACATTACTGACAAATATTGAAATAACAATATGTATCTAAAATTATAATTGTAGAAAGTATTAAATTATAAAAATACATTTCAATGAAATACATAAATTCTGCCTATTCCCTGATATTTTCCACACATTAAATAATATGTATTAAATAATATGTTTTGAGTTTTTATATAAATTACTTATATTAAAACACAAACAATATCATAAATGATTTTCGAAAGCAAAACCTTTTCATGAACACTACATTTCCCAAGAGTCAATGTTGTTTTTGCGTAGGAACTACGCGTCCTTAGCAGCTGTTGTTCAGGGGATTCTTTTACAGGGACACAAACCCGGAGAAGGTAAATATCTGATCACATTTCCTTTTTGAAATAACCCTTTATTCCTCACATCTTATTTGGCTTTGTCCATTATATTTCGGTCAAGTTAAAAAAACCCGGCTAGGCTTAAGCTTGTATAATGTGCAATAAACCAGTCGCTGTGCTAATACTAGTGTTATCTGATCCAGTGAGTGCGATCAAAGCCTTGCATGCTGGACTTCAGATCAATATCAGGCCCTAAAGATGCGTTTCTGTCTCATGTAAATACTGTTGTAGAACATAAATGCAGCGATCCTTGAATATATATTTGCATAGTATTAAACTGTATTTGCTGTTTTGTCATGTTTTGTGTTGCTGTTTGTTGGTATATATCCCATTGTTGCTTGATATGTGATCATTTTCTGATGCATATTGCACACTGCCTGTGGAGGAGTTGATGAAATATAGTCTGGGTATATTGCGAACATGTTTTTATATGTTAGTGTATTTCTAGCACCATTTAAATGGAGTGAATGCATGCATTATGCTTTCTAAACACTTCAAATATCTGTTGTTGTTATTATGTTTAAATATGTAAGCAGTAAATCAATGAAAAATGGATATAAGCCAGTCTTTGTCAGTGCTGGGTAATAACTGATTTCATGGATTCTGTAATTACATTTTATGTATGTATTATTTGCAGCTATATTGTATACGTTTTAGCATATTACTTATGAATTACTAATCAATCAGTTCTTTTATGCATTACAAATCATTCGTTCAATACCAGTAAATTATTTGTAATATTAAACATATACATACATTATAATTTACTAACTCTATAATAAAAAATATAAAAAATCTGTTTAAAATAAAATGATAAAAAATCTACTACATGTCAAATTGTTTATTCAGTCTCGTAGCCAATGGGGGTTCGAAAGACCCACCCCCCACTGACAATTTAATTTGTCCCATACATGAGCTCATTTGTCCTATTTTGATTGCGATGTCATCATAAATACTGAAAATAATCAATCGACATTGTCTTTAAAACCAAGAGGAATCCCCAGTTGCCTTTCGCTTCAGTGTGACTTTAGCTAATCAGTTTTGGCCAATGCAAAATATTATTTTTCATAAGTCCAACATACAACTGTGCAAAAAACATTTAATCTGACGTAAGTGAAGTCATCCTTGGCTACTGTAAAGCTGTTAAGTAGAGATGAAATGTTGTTATCCATGAATTTTCAAATGTACTTTTTTAAGAAAAATCATGAAGCTGTACATTATTATTATTATTATTATTATTATTACGTTTGACTTTTTATCATTCAAATGGCGGATTTCTGACTAGACTGTGGCCAGTTTGTTATTTGCATAATAAATGACAATAGGCCACAGACTTTAACAGATTTATTTTTTTCTAATGCTATATGATGTCATAAATTAGTATTTTAAAAGTCTTTTCATATTTCTTTATGAAAATATTTCTTTAAAATGTGTGGCCATCTGACAAGCTAATTCAGCTAATAATAGTGCTTAAAACGTCACTAAAATGCATTATTTAAGTATCATAATTAAATAGAAAATGAGGTGAATAACTGCAAAAAGGAAAAAAGAACTATCCCTTTTACCAGGCTGCCTACAGGCCTCTTAATTATTGAATATTCACAAAATATAAGTGTATTTGTGAACTATGCTTATTAATTTGGGCACAAATTAAAACAAAAATGTCATAACATTTAACAAAAGTCATAAGTAATCTAAATGTAACCCAAGATTACCAACAGTAGATTACCTATAATTACTCTGGATTACGTTGTTGAGGACTTTTAATTTATTATCAATTCTTCTTATTTGTTATAAGAGGAGAGACCGGGCGTTCTCTTCATTGGCACCTAAATTGTGGAACTTTTTACCCTCTGATATTCGCAATGCAGAGTATTTTTAAATCATCTTTTAAAACATACTTTTAAGTGTAGCTTTTATTAGACTTTTATGTGATTTTTAGATCTATTACTATTATTATTATTTTATGTGTTTTTAATCATTTTTATTACTTCTTTTTTGCATTTATCCTTGTAACTTAAACTTTTGCATATTTTATATCTGTAAAAAGTCTTGAAAGATGTTTTTTTTAAGGTGCTATGTAAATAATGTTTATTATTTATTTATTAAATTTTTTTTTTATAACAACACAACCCCTCTAAAGATTTTTATTTCTAGGATCTATTGCTTTTACTGTTCAAATTTAACACTAGGGGGCAGTGTTTACATTTTTTTGTAGAATCTGTCATTTCTCAGTCTGAAATATCTGTTAACCACTTGCTGGATCTAATAAATATTCCTGTACTCGAAGCTCGGAGCATATTGGTTTGTACATTTATTGAAATAATAATTAAAAAAATGAATAACTTGATAGCATATGCTTTTCTCTTCAATAAAGCTTTATAAGCTATATAGTTCTGCATGTGTGCGATGTTTATGACACCTTTATTCTCTCCTAACAGAATCTATTGCAGATGACTTCATGAACCACCTACAGTGTTTTTCCTGATAATAAACAGCCATTTAGGTGAGGTTCGGTGACTAAAATACATCGATAATAATTGATTTTGTCACAATGATGTCAAATTGTGCATGTGTTGTGTAGGTTCTGCCATGGCAGACCTCAGCCGAAAGTTTGTGTCAGAGTCTGAACTCGACGAGAAACGAAAAAAAAGGCAGGAAGAATGGGAGAAAGTCCGCAAGCCGGATGACCCAGAGGGTGAGACAATCATATCAACAGCTCCAATCAAATCAAACAAATTAGCAAGAGACTTAATAATAAACATTAATGCTCTCCAGATGCATTCGCTCAAATTCTCGCTCTTTCACAGAGGCGCCAGAGGAAGAATATGACCCTCGATCTCTGTTTGAAAGGCTACAAGAGCAGAAGGACAAAAAGCAGGAAGAATATGAGGAGCAGTTCAAATTCAGTAAGTGCTCATACTGTTTTCCTCCTTTCATTTTCCCCCAAAAACAGATCTTTCAGATGGCACACATCACACAATCCCAGGGGGCTTGCCATTCCTGCCTATATGTGACCTCATTTTGGGGTTTATCTGTCACTGCTTGCGCAAAAACATGCGTGTGTGTGTGCGTACACATGCGCTGGTGTGTGTTGGAGCCTGTTGGTGGGTGTCTATGAGTGTGAACAGATGGGAGTGGTGGAGATCAGGAGCAGGTCTGTTCTTGCGGGTGCTGATGGGAGACTGGCATGATCTTAGCATCTCCAATTCGTCTCCGTATCCCTGGCGACAAACCCACTCTCTGGTCTCCCTAGCGACCACTGCTGCTGCTCCTATTGCCGTTGATTCTACGGGCCACATCCTCCTGATCTGCACGCATGCTGGTCGCATTCATAGACAATAGTGGGTAATGATTGTTAAAGGGAGAGTTCAAAATTCACATTTCAAGTCCAAATATAAAAATGCTGTCATTCAGCCTCCTCTTGTGTTTTCTTTCTAATGCTGAACACAAAAGAAGATTTTTTGAAGAATGGTAGAAACTGATGGCCATTATCTTTAGAAGTCAGAGACTACTTTTTTCCATTCTTCAAAATATTTTCTTTTGTGTTCAACAGATAAAAAGAATCTTATTAAAGTTTTTAATCGCTGAGTAATTTGAAGATGAGTCATTTTTTTAACTGAACTTTTTTTATATAGAAATAAGCTCATTTATACAAGTCATGAAGGTTAAATAGATGAGTTTTACAGTTATTGAGCCCTATCGTACACTCAGCGCAATAAGGCGCAAGATGTGTTTTGCAGGATTTGTTACTATTTTAGACCAGCGCAACCCTAATTTTCACGGTTTGTGCCACGTTGTTTAAATGGTGAATCCATTTGTACCACTTTGTGGACTCAGGGGTGTTCCGGTCTTTAAAGGAGGTGTGTTATGGCAATTTTCAATTTCACTTGCACCTTTTGAGAAAGTGAAACTGAGACCGCGCCATTGACCATCTAAAAGCGGGTCTAAAGTCCAGCGCAAAGCATTTATACATAAATATAAAAACACTATACCTGCATGCCTTCTTTATCTCGGGGGAGTTTGTTATTATTGTTAGTAGTGTTATTTATTATATGCTTATTTATACTTATTTTAATAAAAACAAGTTTTAGATTTGTCCACCTGTCGAGTTTTTGAGACGTCTACATCACCATATGGGGCATAGGAGTAGGACGTGTGTTTGGATATAACTCGGTTTTTTGACCACACTTCGTTATTATTGTTCATTTATTCGTTTGCTGGAAATTAGAACTCAATTTAGAAATAGTTTTAAACAAATCTTTGCGCTTAGCACACAAAATTAAATATGTAGGCTAATGGATGTCTTCACTGGAGTACGTACACTGTTTCCTTACTCCATGAAGTAAAGGAGTAAAGGAGAGAGCAAAAGTAAAATAAAGAGAAAGTAAGCCGGCCGAATGGAGCAGGCTCATTCTTTATCCTCACGCTGTGCTCTGTTTAACTGTTTTTTCGCTAGTTAAGCGTTTAGTTTTTCCACTTACAAAGTCTGCCATGTAAATAGCAAATACACCATGGCACGACGCAACTGACTTTGGGAATGGGGGATGAGACTCTGATTGGTTTAATGCACATTGTGTTTAAAACACACCCATAACTCATTAAGAGAATAAGCACAACAGCCTGTTAGACCATGAGCAGGGGTACTGAGCTCATCTTTCTGTCCTTAAAATGGCATAAGTTGATAGGGACACGCCCCTTAATGCTTTTGCACTATGTGCTTTAGACTTTGCACATAGGTTGTTAAAAGGTCTTTGAGTCTGTTTCAGCAGATCTCAGGGTCTGGTGGGAAAACTAGCTTAGCAAACAATGAATCTGATTAGAGCGTTGAAATCTGTTAGAAATTTGAAGAAAAAAGAAAAAAAATTATTAATAGTTTAAAAAGAGATTTACTTTTTCTGTAGTTACATTGTTTACTAAGACCAATGGAAAATGAAAAATTGCTGTTTTCTTAGTTGATATGGCTAGGAACTATACTTAGAAAACAGGTGCTTTTTATTTTCCATCAGTCTTAGTACAGAAGAGTTGTCAAGCTTTAAATTCTAGAATTATCAAAACACTTTAGAATTTTTTGAGCGACATGCTAATGGTCTAATCTGATTCAATGATTTATGCTAAACTAAGCTAAAGGTGCTTACACCAAACCCAGAGATCGGCTTAATGGATTTAAAAATGGTTGGAAAAATTTTAATGAATTTTAAAAAAAGCTGTACAATGTGAAGCAACAAACTGAAAATGTATTTTTTAAAAAGTGGAGTGTTCCTTTAAGTTGTGACATTATAGTGTTATTGGGTCTACTCTTTAGAGGAATTTTGGACTATAGAATACACAAGACTTGTCACTCGTATAGTTTTGAATGGGGGAAAGTGTAACAGTCAATGTGGTGAATGAAGTACAGAGGCCAAAGCTTGGCAAGTAATTTTGGAGAATTTGATGTTTTTCCATTTAAACAGAATGACCGAGAGGCGTTTCAAAAATGGCCGCCAAGTGAAATGACTTGCCTTGAAGGGACTTTGCCATTTAGTCATATCACACATTAAAGTAAATTCTTTACATGACAGTTTCTGGACTTGCAGCATCACCAATATTGCAATGATTTTTAAAAGAATTACAATAGTACCATATTCACAATTCTCATTTCTGGCTTGGTTGTTGTGTTCCTCCACAGAGAACATGGTTAAAGGCTTGGATGAAGACGAAACCAGTTTTCTTGATGAGGTGTCGCGGAAGCAGTCTCTAATAGAGAAACACAGACGGGAGGAGGACGCTCAGGAGATAAAAGAATACAGAATATCCTTTTGCACCTTAAAGTGTCTACAATATTACTGTCATGCAGCCGCTTGGGAAAATTGACGGCGAATTTTGCTTTGGCGGCTGAGTCTGTCTCCACTTTCACCTTCGTTAAGCTGGTGGTAGAAGCTTCAGCTGTCAGGCGCGTTGATGGCTGCTGAAAAGTAACTTCTTGTAGCTTGTTAGTGTAGCATGTTCTCAAACAGAAGACAGCCCCAAGAGAAAGCTGATGCACTGACGATCCAGCGTTGCTTCCAAAGAAATTCACGCAGGCTTGGCAAATGAGGTTTGGGGAACCGTTTTTAAGAATACGGCTTAAAGCAGGTTATTTTACTTTACAGCTGGAAATTTTAGAACTTACACCAAAAAGAAACATTTCACAGCTGGGGTTTTAAAAAGAAGACTATTGTTAGACCAAGTAAAGTAAATTTAATGAATAATTTAATGGGAAAACAATGGACTGGTTTACAGAAAGACCTAAGCCAAAGCCAGGACTAGGCAACACATGCAGGACTTTAAGAAGCTTTTAGAAAACAAAAACATCATTAGTGTGCATCTTCTTGAAACAAAACAACAGCACTGATATATTTTAATATAATTCAATCTTATTTAAAGGGTTATTTCACCTAAAAATCATAATTCTGTCATTATTTGCATAACTGTTGCTTGTTTCAACCCAGTTTGAGTTGGTTTTTTTCCTGTTAAACACAGAGGAAGATATGCTGAAGAATGTTTTAAATGTGACCATTGACATCCATATTAGGAGAAACTAATACTATGGAAGTCAATAATTACAAGTCTTTAACATTCTTCAAAATATCTTCTTTTGTGTTTAACTGAACTGAGAAAATCAAACCGGTTTCTGACTATTCAATGGTGAATTAATGATAAGAGAATTTTCATTTTTGACTGAACTATCCTTTTAAGACTGCTCAAACATTTAATCCCATCTGGGACTATCTTTAATCCTAGATTTAAGAAAACCAAGCTCATGCAGCACTGATAGAACACGTGCAATTTATGCATATATTTGAAAACGTAACATTCTGTAGTGCATTTAGTTATTGTTTAACGCCATTTTGCGCTGTCAGTCTACACATAGTAGGCATTCTTTATATTCTCATAAGTAACATCGTCTAAACAGTCAAACAGTCATTGCGTGTAATGAATTTGCATCATTTTGGACACTTTTATGCTTCTATTCTGTACATGTTTGCTTCATTTATAAGCCTCCATGTCTCGAGGTCAGTCTGATGCAGTTGTCTATGCACAATTTGATTGGATGAGAATCACAGGACTGACAATTCTACTTAGCCAATGACCATAGACAAAAAAAAAATAAATCATATGAAGTAGGAAATTAGCGCAGTACCAGTACAGAACCATAGAATTATAGGCAGCACACATTGAATTGTATGAGCAATGCTTCAAAGTTCAAATATTACAATTCTATGAATGACAATTCTCACCCTCTCCTTGTTTCAAACCTATTTATGATTATTTATTTTGCTCAACACAAAGGAAGAAATGTAAAAACTTCCATAGTAGGAAAAAGTACTATAAAATGAGTGTTACCACAAACTGTTTGGTTATTATTTTTTTCCCTTTGTGTTTACCAAAAGAAAGTAATTCAAACATGTTTAGAACAAGTGGAGAGTGAGTAACTGATGACTGAAGTTTCATTTTTAGGTTAATTATTCTTTTTTCATAGAAATATGATGTATGGCTATATATAAACATATAGAAAATTACATCTATTATATCTAATCATATATGTACATATTTGTAATTCCTGTGGCTAAAAAATATATAAATGGCCATTTTGGCAATATGGTTGAAATATGAGTTGCATATACGACACGTATTTTATACACAGTATTCAGCATATTTGAGTGCACACCCCACAGATCTCTTTTTTTATCACTATTTTTCTATGGGAAGCCTTACAATATTATATTTGTGCATACACATTAGTTTAGTCCATACTGAAGCCAAATCTGAAGCTTATCTAACAAAATACCTCATAATAATGGTTAAAAAGTTAGTAGCCCAAATTAATGTTACAGAAAAAAAATAATTTCAAATCTAAAGAAACAGAAAAATATGCAATTTTGTTGAAATGTTGTAGTTTGTAATTTTATTTTGCAATATTTTTGTGAAATTAATTGTATTATCTCAAATTCTAAAGATGTTCTGTGACTAAAATAGTATTTTAATAAATATATGTGTTTAAAAATCTGTTTTGTTTAAATGCACCAAAATACATTGAATTTATTCACTGAGAAATTGATAAAAATATTCATTTTCTAAATGGGGTGTACGCAATTATACTGAGCACTGTATGCATATATGACATACAAGCATGAACTTGTATGTCATATATGAGATTGAAATGCAGTATATTAGATTTCTATATAAGAAAGGCATTCGTCTAGCACATGATTACATTAAAACTAAAAAAAGCAATGCAGTCGAACACAATTTGTTCTTTCTGTCACGTCAATGTCTCTCACTCAGCAGTGAGAGATGAAATCCACAACCACAGGCAAGAAAACATATAGTTTACCTGAGTTGTGGAAGTTTGTGGAAGTTGCACATTGTTGAATGTGATGCAATGTAGCCATAAAGACACGTCATTGTGTCAACTTGTCATTGCTGCATGTACAATACTACATACATAAAACCATTGACGCTTTTCAGCTGTTTTTTAAAATAAGCAGTTGGTTCAGAAACATGGTTTGAGTCTGAATTGAATCATGTTTTGCTGCAGTTTCATATTGATTTTTGTTTACTCTATAAAATCTGACATTTCTGTCAAATAGCAAATTATAAATTTATTTATTCTTTGTTTTCAGAAAATGACATTTGGTTAGAATAACAAAAGTTTTCATTTGTTGACATTACAAAACAATCTATATTATTCCACCAAATATTGATTTCTTGCGTCTTCTAACATTAAAACATTGAAGGAACATTAGTACTAACATCAAGAGGGGCGTGGTTAAGATTAGTGACATCAACAGAGAAGGACCACCACTTTAAACACAGAAGCACATGATCAGACTTTAGTTGAAGATTACTGTACCAAAACAAACTTTTCTCTTTGGTGAATTAACTGGCATGGATTCATTGCTTTTCCAAAGCATAACAATGTAGCCATTTTAAAGATGTAATGTAATTTCTAAAAACTAAAAAAGATCAAATACACACTAACTGAGGGGTTCGGTTCACAGGTTATATACTTACTGGGAACCAATTTGATCATATGTTAAAAATCTGAAAGAATTACCCAGCTGTTAAATAATTTGTACAGTTGAAGTCAGAATTATTAGATTTATAATTTTTTTTTAATAATTCCCAAGTGCTTTAACAGAGCAAGAACATTTTCACAGTATGTCTGATAATATTTTTTCTTCTGGAGAAAGTCTTATTTGTTTTATTTCGGCTAGAATAAAAGCAGTTTTTATTTTTTTTAAAAACATTTTTAGGGTCAAAATTATTAGCCCCTTTAAGCTATATAATTTTTTCAAAAGTCTACAGAACAAACCATCGTTATACAATAACTTGTCTATTGACCCTAACCTGAATACTTAACCTAATTAACATAGTTAAGCCTTTAAATATCACTTTAAGCTGTATAGAAATAAATAGTTTATTATAATGTTTAATATTATCTTGCTAAAAAACATAAAAATAATTTTTAAATCCAGACAAACTTGAATATAAAATAAGTGGTGTCTTAATTTTACCCAATATGTATATAATCATTTGAAGTCAAATATGCTACTAACCTTTTTATATATATTTCCCAAATTATGTTTAACAGTTTCCCAGTGATGGGTTGCAGCTGGAAAGGCTTCCGCTGCACAAAACTTATGCTGGAAAAGTAAGCGGTTCATTCCACTGTGGCGACCCCAGATTAATAAAGGTACTGAGCCGAAAGAGAATGAATGAATGAATGAATGAATGTCTTATTTTTTCATTTCGGCTAGAATAAAAGCAGTTTTTAATTTTTTAAGCTATAAGAACTCACTGTGGCGTGGGTTTCTCAAACAATTGTGATTATCTGAAAAAGGTCTTTTTAAAGCATTGTCTTTCATTTTCAACTCGGGAAGTCTCAGTGACATATGAGTAACATCCAGGTTCAGTCATGTAAGAATGTGTGCAATTAAAAATTATTGTGCGTCAATATTATTAGCCATCTTAAACTTTTTTTTTTCAGTTTTCTATAAACAGACCATTGTTATACGATAACTTGCCTAATTATCCTAACTTGCCTAATTAACCTAGTTAAGCCTTTAAATTGCATAATAAGCTGAATACTAGCATCTTAAATAATAACTAGTGAACTATTATGTACTGTCATCACGGTTAAGACAAAATAAATCAGTTATTTGAAATGATTTATTAAAACTATTATGTTTAGAAATGTGTTGAAGAGATCTTCTCTCTGTTAAAAAGAAATGGGGTAAAACCAATATAAGAGAATTCATATTTACCAGGAGGGCTGATAATTCTATGGCTTGTTTTTGTTTTGTTGAACGTTTGCTCAAACAACGTGTTTATCCATATCACACCATTGATTTCTCATCATGGAACTGCCATGGCCTTTCTCTTCTGCCAATCAGGTATGACTGTAGATGGAAGGTTGGAGGATGCGTTGTCGTGGCAACTGAACCCTTTCTCAGGGCTTGATAACTGCATCTAAAAGCACCACTGAGAGCCATGATCTGCAGCGCAGCACAGTACAGTACTTTGCCCTCATTCTGCTCAATCTGCCTCTCATGAAGGCACCTAATTGTCTTACCTGTAAGTGTGTCGCTTTTTTAGGCCATCCCTATGAGAAAAAGGAAGTAGGTTTAATTTCTGTGGTGACTTTCATGAGCGCTTGCCCTCTTTATATTAGCTTCCTCAAAGTCTGTGGTTTTTGTTCTTTTTCTGCTTCTTAAGTTGTCTTAGTTTATAAGAAAATATGTGTGTTAAGTGGTTTACCACAACAGCATAGGTGATAAGAAGCTTGATGTGGGTTTCTGTTAAGTTTTCTTATAGTTTAAAGTCTGCGTAAAATGGAAATCGCTGAGACTTTTATATTAGTATGTTAATGTATCTCCAACTGAAATGGAATATTAAGCTAGGGTTGGGCTTCTTTTGTACATCAGTCCCTCATAGTAAACTAACGGTCAAGCTCATGGGAGTCAGTCACAATATGAATTATTTTTTCACTGACTTTATATTCTATACTATACATTATTTCTGTTAAGTGACAAGACTTTTGTCTCGGCAAAGTCAGATTTTACTGTCCTAATTAAATATCAAAAATCATAGGCGACTAGACTAAATAGGGAACCTACTTGATCATATTTTATTATATTAAATAATCTGTATATATTTTTGTATCACCTCCATATTTTGTCTTTAGTTCGTCCTTCAAAATGTTTAATTCCCTCTTATATTTGTCATTTTTACTTGATTTATTTATCATGTTACGACATGCATGACTGAAGACGTGTAAATACTTTATTTGACCCTAATTATTTTGTTAAGCTGCCTTGGGATTTTCAGGTCTTGGAGTTGGGTTGTTAAACAAAAATAGAAAGTAGGAAACTGTAATGTTGATGTTTTATTCGATGTATATTTTCTTTGCCTTCTATAAAAAAAAGAATAAGAAGCTTCGCTAGCTCAATAAACATTAAAAATTTTAACTAAAATTGTCAATGGCAGTGATTTTTCCTTAAATGAAGCTCACAGCGCTCTGCAGAAGCTGGCAGCCACCGATAGCCAGAAGAAGGAGTCGGAGAAAAAAGCAGGACCCAAACCTTCAGAGCACAGGACCAGTCACCTGTCTCAAGCCCACCTGCTTGCTGGAGCAGTCAAACGACGCAGGTATGATGAAAGGGAAGAAATCCTTTCTGAAGGGTCACTGTCTAGCAAAGATTAGCATCAAGCCTAATTAAAATTCAATGCTGGGTAAATTTTTTAGAAATTGTTGTCCATTACTGATAATTGAATATACATTATGACAATTATAACTAGTAATGTAATCTGGATTCCAGATTTTAAGTCTTTTTAACCTGACTTTTTATCATTATTTTATACTATATTGATGTCTTCAAGGTTGTAAGCATTATAAAATGTAATATAATCTCATTACAAGGACTTCATTTTTGTGATCTGATTACATAATCCACATAGTGAGCACTGTTTATACGCTGGGTGAAAACCTCCAGGCAAGTGTATTTTAGGTGGTTGGAACAAACTTTGCATTTAAATTCTGTAATGTATTTAAACCTGTTGATGTCTGAGGCGACATAATCTTTAGGTACAATTATCCGTTTGATTTTTGTTTTTCGCAGCTCATCTCAGTCCTCAGAAGGGAGTAAAAAGCAGAAAACAGAGGAGAGCGTAACAGGCAACGGCAGTCAGACAGGTGAGCAGTTCAGGGGAATGTTATTTGAATTTTGTGCTGTGATTTATGCACTGTAAAAATGATACAACAAAAAGTTATGGCTACAATTCTTTTTATGTTGCTTTAACTTATTTAATTTAGATAACCTGTTTAAACTATGTTTTTAAGTCATGTATAGTTTAACTAAACATTTAGTCAGTTTGATTGATATAAGTTGAGATGAAGAGAAAAGTTCATTTTCCAGATTTGTTTGACAGTATGGAGTGTTCACTCTTGACAGGTTCATATGTTGACACAAACACCTTCAATTTGTGCACACTTACAACGTACAAGCACATTTAGCCTTGGACACAGCATTGTTTTTAGATGTTCTGTGTATTCCTAGCAATATACACATCCTAAAGCTTTGTGCTTTTTCTTTTTTTAAGGTTTGCTAAAATAAATTCAAAGCCTAAATATATTCTGAGTCAAATGAACAAAATAACTTAAGCAAATATTGTAAACCCACCCAACACCTTATCGTATCTACACTACTTTATAAAACTGATTGCTTCTTGAAGGTTTTGGATAGTCCTTGTTCAATGCTGTTATATAACACTACAAACATACACCTGTGGCTGTTGCTTGGCAACCATTCTGTTATCAGTACTGAGCCAAACAATCTGTTTTATTTTGTGGAACTATGTACAGTTGAATTATTAACCCACTGAATTATAAGCCCCCCTGTTTATTTACACAGAAAGAAGATTTTTTCGACACATTTCTAAACATGATAGTTTTAATAACTCATTTCTAATAACTGATTTATTTTATCTTTGCCTTGAGGACGGTACATAATATTTGACTAGATATTTTTCAAGACACTTCTATACAGCTTAAAGTGACATTTAAAGAATTAACTATTTTAATTAGGTTAACTTGGCAGGTTAGGGTAATTAGGCAAGTTATTGTATAATGATGGTTTGTTCTGTAGACTATAGAAAAATATATATCTTAAAGGGGCTAATGATTTTGACCTTAAAATGTTTTTTAAAAAAAAAAAAAAAAAACTGCTTATATTTTTGCCGAAATAAAACAACTTAGACTTTCTCCAGAAGAAAAAAAATTATTAGACATACTGTAAAAATTGTCTTGCTCTGTTAAACATCATTTGTGCAATATTTAAAAAAGAAGAAACAATTCAAAGGGGTGCTAATAATTCTGACTTCAACTGTATATGGAATAACTATATTATAAAAGCAATGATCCCTGATGGTTTGCAGAGATTTTATGACAGATAAGGGAGCCTTTATAAATGGCCAGTCGCTCTTATAAAATCACAGTAAACTAGGGCTGCATGATATTGGAAAAATATAACACTGCAATATTTTTTATTCTGCGATATATATTGTGATATGAATATAATTTCACTAAATTTTTTTAATAAATCTTTGTAAAGAATTTATTCATTCTTTATACATACATACATATACAAAAAAGAATTTGTAGGGGAGTGCATATGCATAAGATATAAGAAACAATCTACAACAAATCAACAGACATAAATAAGTTCAATAAAGAAATGGAGACAAATTATATAAACAGCATCTATATAAGTTTGAGGAGTCGAACTGTACACTGTAATTTTATGATGAAATGTGAAATATTAATGCGTAGTATTTTTAAATAAACAATTCAATAGAATTGAATTAGCGTTATTAATTTGTCAAGTCAGAAACAGTTCAATTTCTTGGACCTGAATGCTTTAAAAACCTTCACACAGTCACAGGCCACAAAAAAACACTTACGAGATGATCAAATAAAATCCAGACTCAACGCTGCGTCGACTCGCGATGACTACTGTGATATTAATGCTGAAACAATATATTTAGCAGCCCTACCGCAAACCACAGCTTCATTGCGCTTTGGCGTATTTAGTTTTGGGGTAACTTTACATAACCTGACATATTATTACATTACATTTATTTGCAAAAACATACAACTCCATTTTGATTAATTAATAATAATAAATGTGGGCAAAAATGTATCCAAATGAACTCTTCAATAGTAAAAAAAAAGTATTATTGGATGTTAGAAATGCCAGATTGGTTAGCCAATACATATTAACCTGCCAAATTAAATGTGAAATGCACTGAAAAGTGTGTAAACGAAGGTCGGAGAAAGCTCCAAATGGGGTGGTCAGCTCCAAGTGAGTGCGACTTGAACTCCAAGTGAGCTGTACACACCTTCTGGAGTTTTCCTTTATTTAATGTCCTTACAGGACACGGAGTCCAACCTTTAGTTTTTTTTTTAATGTTTACACCTAGCCCAGGGGTGTCCAATCCTGTTTCTGGAGATCTAACTTCCTCCTGCAAAGTTTAGTTGCATACCTTGATCAAACACACATCTTTAATTACCATGTGCTCCATCAGATCCTACTTAGTTGTGTTATGTTTGAGGGTTGGAGCTGAACTCTGCTGGAAAGTAGATCTCCAGATGTATGATTGGGCACCCCTGACCTAGACCCAGGAGTGGACTGGGTCAAAAATTCAACCCTGGCACTGTAGCCACACAAATTACCACACCGACACAAATTATCACACCGATATACAGTGTTGGGGAGTAACTAGTTACATGTAAAGGTGTTACGTCATTTCATTACAAAATAAAAGTAACAGTAATTTGTTACAGAGAAAAAAATATGTAATTAAATTACAGTTGTGAAAATGTTAAAGATTACAAATGGGGTTACATCTAAAAATGTTTTTTTTTTTTAAATCTGGGATATGTTGAAAAATATTAATCTGTTGCTTTGCTTGTTTTTGATGTGCACGATGCCTTCTGCTGAGGCCATTTATTAAAGAGGTGCTATTCTGATGCTTTTGATTTGCGGCGCACCCACAGGCTTAAATCCCGTGGGGAACATGTCCTCGGTAAAAATGCTTGAAAATGATTTATTTGAAAATGTCCATTAAACACTTAAAAGTAATCAAAAGTAATTAGTTATTTTACTTTTATAAAGTAATCGAAAAGTAGTGTAACTTATTACATTTTAAATAGGGTAATTTGTAATCTGTAATCTATTACATTTCCAAAGTTACCTCCCCAACACTGCCGATATAGCCCCACCCACAGACTAGCACATTCACTATTTACTTTAATGTACAATTGGTGATATTTTCATTATCATCATCATAATATCACATCTAGCACGAGATAAAAGCTGTCTGCACTTAAAAACAATACATATAACATACGGAACATACGGATATGGAACATACGGCCCACATTTAAAAATTGGTCCGGCCCTTCTGGCATTTGCCAGAATTGCCAGATGACCAGTCCGCCCCTGCCTAGACCAACTCTAAACCCAACCTCACAGTGGCCTCTAGTTTTAGTAACGTCCACTACACCTACACTAACCCTAAATCCAACCTACTTGCGGCAAAACTCTTTCCCACTTGGAGGTCATGCAGCCTACTTGCGGTGTAAGTCCCTCCCTCTTGTAGGTCTCCGGACTGCAGTGATGCCTACTTGAATGCACCAGAGACTGCGTGCGCTCTATGTGCGTGTGTTTGTTGTGTGTTCTCAGAGCAGACGAGGGAAGACCCCAAATCCCCCGGCACTGGTGCGAACCGCTCCGGCGTCCTCCACCTGCCCTCGGCCGCCGTGTGTGTGGGGATCCTCCCAGGGCTCGGCGCATACTCGGGCAGCAGCGACTCAGAGTCCAGCAGCGACCTCGAAGGTAGCGTGGACGAGATTGGCTCTTCCATAAAGCGCCACAGGCTCTTCAGATAAACACACACACACACACACAGATCACACTCACTTACTCACTATCTCTCCCTCACCTTCTGAGCGGCGCGGAGCACAAATCATTAGCTAAAGCCATTTAGCCGTAGGTATTATTTCAGTTTGGAGTTAAGTCTGTGTTTGGTTATTTGCTTGATGTTTATTAAAGGCTGTAATGTTAACTTCTATTGTGGTTGTTGATGTCTTGTGCTCTCAAAACATGACACTTCCCCCATCCTCCTCCATATTACATTCCATACAGTTTAACCCCCCGGCAGCTTAACCTGGTGACGCACCTTCCCATCTACCCTTGCGGTTTCTGCAGAGCTCTAGTGGTCAACGGGACACTGACTGACAGCTGCGGATCAAGAAGACATGAAACATTTAGTCCGAATCCATCACAGGACAAAGCAGACATGTTGAAATGGCTTGGTTTGAATTTTTGCGTTTCTTTCTTGTTTATGTTTTTAAGACGAAATGCTGCAATGCTAAGAATGCTGGATTTTTCATGAACTCTGCTCTTTAAGGGCACCAAACCTTGTGTTTGTTTGCTGGAAAATAACCAGTGATGACAGAATGGACAATAAAAGTGTTTCTCTTGTGTTTGGCCTTTTTCCTTTCTTTATTTGACTGATGTGAAACGGCACAGGCCATTTTAGTTCTGTAATCCGAGTTTCTGAGTGAAACTGAATATTTAGCAAGGAAAATGGAATGGATTGTGAAAAATTTCCATATGAGAATGAAGCCAGACTTGAATGAGTTTGTAGTTAATTGTGGAGAGCTGCTCCACTCTGTGAGCCACATTTGTACATAATTTGTGTGGCTGAAGAATACATTTACTCCTGAAATCATTTCTGATTATTATTATTTAAATGTGCCATTTTTTTTTCTCATGAAAGTAAAAGTAGCTTGTTTCAATGTTATATAGTAATATTTAATATTAATGTGGGCAGAAAGGGGCGAAGCAGTGGCGCGGTAGGTAGTGCTGTTGCCTCACAGCAAGAAGGTCACTGAGTCGCCGGTTCGGGCCTCGGCCTAGTTGCCGTTTCTGTGTGGAGTTTGCATGTTCTCCCTGCATTCGCGTGGGTTTCCTCCGGGTACTCCGGTTTCCCCCACAGTCCAAAGACATGCGGTACAGGTGAATTGGGTTGGCTTAATTGTCCGTAGTGTATGAGTGTGCGTCTGAATGTGTGTGGACGTTTCCCAGAGATGGGTTGCGGCTGGAAGGGCATCCGCTGCGTAAAAACTTGCTGGATAAGTTGGCGATTAATTCCGCTGGTGTAACCCCGGATTAATAAAGGCCGACAAGAAAATGAATGAATGAATGTGGGTAGAAAGGCATGCAAGCAAACTCTTCAAAAGTCAAATAAGTAATGTGTTATTTGCCATTAGAAATGTCATATTGATCAGCCATTGCATGTTAACCTGCAACATTAGATGTGAAATGCACCAAGAAGGGTGTAAACAGTGGTCGGGCGCCAGTTCCAAATATGCTGCTCAGCTCAGAGTGGGTGGGACTTGAGCTTCAACTGGGCTGTAAACACCTCCCGGAGTTTGTCTTTATTTAATGTCCAACCTTTAGTGTTTTAGGAAATGTCTACACCCCAACCTTAAAACCAACCTTGTGGTAGCCTTTTGCGCTTTAATAATGTCTACTACACCTACACTAACCCTAAACCCAGCCTATGCTTGTGGTGTAAGTCCCTCCCATTTGGTGGTCATCCAGCCTGCTTGAGGTGTAATCCCACCCACTTGGAGGTCTGTGGGCTGCAGCGATGCTTCAATGCACCACATGTGGTGATGCTGTTTTGTTTCGTTTTTTTACAATGGAGATGGAGAACATGCAATGTATTGTTCTTTAAATATGATAGGATTTTCGAATAATATTTTATGAATAATTAAAGAGCCCCTATTATACATTAAAAAGGGTTGTATTTTGGTATTAAGGGTCTCCAACCACAGGTTGATCTGCATGGAAAGTCAAATGATTGGTTCAGCGATTCATTTGTTCCTAAATCACTCCTCAGCGAAGCTAATCTGCGCTAATTGGACCGATGACCATACCTGCCAACACTCCCATTTTTCCCGGGAGTCTCCTGTCGGAAAACATACAGAATTCCACCTGTACTGTCCGGCTAGCTTTTTGGATCAGTCCCCATGCGCAACGAACCCAGCGCGCAATAATCTTTATACCCGCTTCCCGCTCTTCACTTCGCCTGCACCCCCGGATAAAATCTCCCGGATTTTATGATCCGAATGTTGGCAGGTATGCCGATGACCACCTGTTGCCATTGGTCGACAGCGTTTAGCACGAGACAGAGTGAAATGCCCAGCATGGCTTATCAACAACAGTATTGAAGAAGAGTGCATAGTGCATGTGTGAGCATACCTGCCAACACTCCTGTTTTTCTCGGCAGTCTCCCGTAATTTAGACTCATCTCCAGCCAACCACCCATTTTGTTATTTATCCCGGAAAACTCTCGTAATTTCAGTGACTCATGACTTCAGGATCTGTTTGTCTTCTTTTTCTTTGCTAGTGGGTGGGACCGCAGGTTTTAATTTTTCCTGGTTTCCGCACACAACAACTGGACTGGGCTTTTGTTTCATATCGACTTCACGCCAAAACTGCTAAAGACTTGTTATCAAGACGATTCATTTGAGTCGACTCTTTTATAGATGAATCAATAGTTTTAAACTGTGCAATTTTAGATTTACTTAGAACTGTTACACACTACATATAAGGTCATTCTCAAAAACCAATTATAGGGGCTCTTTAAGGATACTAGTTTAAGTAAAAATTTCCATTATTGGAAAAAAAAAACTTCATTGGATTTACAAAATGTTTTAAGGTAAGTGGTTGCAAGCAATTTATATGGGCTGAATTTAAATTAATTAGGTTGAACATTGCGGAATTTAATTAGTTTAAACTCAGCCCATATAAACTGTTTGCAACAGTTTTGTAAAAATGACTTTTTTCAGTGTACTATAGAAAAAAAGACGTATTCTACAGGGCTTCCCACAGGTTTGAAATATACTTCCGGTGGTAGCTAGATTGAAACATGTTTTCCCCATCGTACATAAATAGTTAACTATGCGACAAAGAAAAAATAATGTGATCTCTAACAATATTTTATTGTTATTTATTATATATATTTTTATTAGTTTATTTATTTTTTAATCCCATTGAAATAAAATAAAAGTAATCCACTCATTCATTCATTCATTTTCTTATCGGCTTAGTCTCTTTATTAATCCGGGGTCACCACAGTGGAATAAACCGGCAATTTATCCAGCAAGTTTTACACAGCGGATGACCTTCCAGCCGCAACCCATCTCTGGGAAACATCCACACACACATTCACACGCAAACTCATACACTACGGACAATTTAGCCAACCCAATTCACCTGTACCGCATGTCTTTGGACTGTGGGGGAAACCAGAGCACCCGAAGGAAACCCACGCGAACGCAGGGAGAACATGCAAACTCCACACAGAAACGGCAACTAGGCCGAGGCCCGAACCAGCGACTCAGCGACCTTCTTGCTGTGAGGCAACAGCACTACCTACTGCACCACTGCTTCGCCTCTTTCTGCCCACATTAATATTAAATATTACTATATAACATTGAAACAAGCTACTTTTACTTTCATGAGACAAAACAATGGTACATTTAAATAATAATAATCAGAAATGATTTCAGGAGTAAATGTATTCTTCAGCCACACAAATTATGTACATGTGGCTCACAGAGTGGAGCAGCTCTCCACAATTAACTACTAAACGCCAACTGAGCTGAGGCTCAAACCAGCGACCTTCTTGCTGTGAGGCAACAGCACTACCTACTGCGCCACTGCTTCACCCAAAGAAATCCACTATTTCTCTTATTTTTATGTGCGCTGACAGGTAAAAGCTGCTGCTTCTGCTGGCTCTTTCTTTCTCTCTTTTCTATTTCAAGTTCAAGTTGCTTTATTGGCATGTGTTTTTGTATAGTATTACCAAAGATTTTAAATATGTATAAAATATGTAAAATTTTAACTATCAAATAAATAAAATATGCAGCAAATGAGAAATAAACAGAAAAAAAACAGACAATATCTAAATAATGATAATAATTAAAAAGTGTGGATTACTTAGATTACAAATGAGTTGATAAAACATGTTTAATAGTGCACACATATTTTGCGGCCAGTTTAGATGTCATTTCGTTTTTCTGAGTCGTTGAGATTAAAGAATGTATTTTTTAATGTTTCTCTCGCGGCTGTGTGTGCACTTCGAAGCCAAGAAACAGTAAATCAGGCTTAAATAAAAAGGTAAACGCATCGTTTAAGTCCCCAAAAGGCGCATCTCTGTGGGTCTGCAAAGCATGTGAGATTGTCTGTGTGAGTGTTGACAGTTCGCGCGCACACAGAACCAGCAGTATACATGTACGGCGAGAGTTTCACGGGTTAATTGATCACGTTTGCTTGGTTATCTTTAGCAGATACAAAACAGTGTAAAAGGATGATGCAAATAAAAAACAAAAGTGTCACTAAATATACTTTTCTACAGTCTGTGGGTAAGCTTAAGATGATCAGCCGTTAAGGGTCATCAAAGTATAAAAATTGTATTTCATTCTTTTACTTTAACTCAAATCAAACATTGCAAACTGCTCAAAGCGATCAATCCTGCATGCTCTAAAAAGACGGCAGCACATGATCAAACAGTGTTATCTGAAGGTGTTGTTGTGACTCACTGACAACCTGCAGCGATTTTCACAACTAAAGCTGTAATCAGCCTCAGTTCCTGAATCAATGCGTCTGTGCATCACGCGATGAGAGCACCGCTCATCATTTTCTCAAATGAAATTTATTGACCTGAGTGGAACATAAACAACCAATAAAGCTGTACAAAATAAGTAACACCACCTTGACCATGGCACCATACCATCACTAAATACAAATCACTACATATAATGTACTCTTTAGCATTTGCTTCTATTAAAACACAGAAAACGGTAGTATAAAGTTACATTCAGCCAAATACTTGTACATACTTTGTGATAGACACACAAATGGCCGTTGCATTTCAATCGATAGGTCAAATATTTAGATATATAAAGCAATAAATAAAAACATGTACTAAAAACACTTCTGTACAGGAAAAAAAACATGCACTTTGTCCACTGGATTGGTCAAGAGAGGTTTGTAAACAGTTAGCAGGTTTTGGCAACATGCAGTGCGAACTCCAGTCCTCCAGCCCCTATTCCGGCATTGTGTTGCTAGGCGACAGGTTCCTCTGTTTGAAATACTGTGTGACCTGTTGCGGCAGCTCTGCCAATACGGATTTGGCTAAAGTTTCCTTCGGAGCCTGCGAGAACAACAAACACACGCAACGACATCATTGAGGATGCATATTTGAGTACACGTTGGCATTCGACACTTGTTAGATTGTTAAATCCACTTCCATGTAATGAAAACGAAGAAATGGCAGACACGTTCGGATGTGTGGCGGTGAGTGTTGGCACCGTTTCCTTCCATATTCTCTCTAAGCTAAATGAATTTTAATTTCCTCTGAATGGAGCCCAAATGAGGGAGTGCTGCCCGTTCCCTCCTGCTGTTGAGGAAACCACATGGCCCACAGTCCGCCTACTCACACTCCTACAGAAGATTCTGTTTACATTTCTGATCCAGGATTGGATTCACTTCAGAGGTCTGCGGCAAGCGAAATATTGATTACATGCATGAGCTAAAGTCTCCGGGTCAATTCATCTGCATAATATTGAGAGTTTAATACTGCTCGGGAAAGACTTCTTGACCTGGCAACCCAAATTAGCATTTTAAAAGCAGTGCATCATGTAGCCTATGACAACACCCTTATATAACTGAGCTGATGTGAAATCAAGACATCAAGTGAGAGAGGAAACACTCACATTGCGAAAGTCCCTGAATGGGACGAACTGCACAATATCTCGGACCGCCTCCTCTCCTGTGTAGGATCTCAGAGCGCTGCTGTCGCCATCCAGAAACTCCATGGCGGTGAAGTCAGCATTGCCCACTCCGATGATAATGATGGACATGGGCAGCTTGGCAGCTTGCACTATGGCGTGACGCGTTTCGTCCATGTCGCTGATCACGCCGTCAGTAATGATTAGCAGTGTGAAGTATTGCTGCAAAAGAAGAAAGGAAAACTATCAATGTGGAAGGTCACATACTTGCCTCTCATTTTACTTCTGTACTGTGAAATATCACCTGCACTAAATGTTGGGTACTTCGTGGAAATGGCCATTTATATTTTTCTAACCCCTAGACCAGAGGTCTCAAACTGGATTCCTGGAGGGCCTCAGCTCTGCAAAATTGTGCTACAACCCTAAACAAACACAGCTGATCCAAAAACTCAGGGTGTTCAAGACAACTAGAGACTATTAAGCAGGTGTGAGGTGGAGTTGGTTGAAGCTAAATTATTGAAGCTAAGCCGCAGCCCTCCAGGAATTGAGTTTGAGACCATTGCCTTAGATGGTGCTCTATGAGTGGTTATTAGGGTGTTGTGGTTGGTTTCTTGGCCATCACTAAGGGCATTGCTATAGTGTTAAGGGTAAATGTTAATGCATCACTAAGGTGTCCTATGTGGTTGCAAGGCAGTTTCTTGACCAAATCAATATTGACTTAAAGTCTAAAAGGCAATCTCCATCATTTTCTAAGCCCTTGATATTAAGCCCACAGTGCTTAGATGCACTGAGTAGTTTCTAGAGTATTGTCGAGGAGTTCAGAATAGTGCTAGGGTGTGTTGGGTGGCTGCTTGATGAAGTGTTCTGCATCATTTCAGGGGAAGCGATGGGCAGTGTACTTGGTTTACTTAATGCTGGGTTCACACTTGCTCTAGTTTACTCACAGGATGTTTTTTGCACAAAAATTTTCTGCTCATGTTTTTTTTTACACTGAACACACAAGCGATTCAAATCCTTGCTGCATTTGCATTGACTTTTTATGTAACCTACATGCATGAATATTTAAATTCACATTTGGTGTGAAGTCAGAAGATGCATGTTTGTTTTTTAAGCCCTAGACATGGAGTCCACAATTCTTGGGCACCCTGGGATGTTGCTAGTGCATGGCTCAAGGGTTTGGGGTTGTTGCAAAAGTGCTGCTGTGGTCTTCCAGGTGGCTGCTACACTCTCAGAAATAAAGGTATGTGAGTTGTCACTTTTCAAAAGGTACACATTTGTACTTAAAGGGTTCATATTGGTACCTCAAAAGTATATATTAGTACCTAAAAATTTTGAGAGGAACACTTTTGTACCATTTAGGTACTAATCTGTACCCTTGAGGTATTAATATGGACCTTTAGGGTACAAATGTGTACCTTTTGAAAAAGTACCACCCCAGTGACAGCTTACGTACCTTTATTTCTAAAAGTATAGGACATTGCTAGGCCATTTCTATGGTTTTTTCATGGGGTTACTTAGTTTAGTCTCAAGTTGAATAAACAATTTCTTAGATTTTCTAAGCCCTAGAATAAGACCTGTTGGATAAGGTATTGTAGGTACTTAAGGGCATTGCATTGCTGTGGTGTTGTTATAGGTGGTGGCTGGGGCTTTGCCAGGCAGTCTAGGTTGTTTTGTGGGTTTACTTAAACAGGTCCTAAATTAGAACATGCATTTGTATGACTTTTAAGCTCTAGATTTCCAAAATGTTAGAGCATTGATAAAATATTTGCTAGGGTGTTGCTATGGGGTTCTAGACTGATACTATGGTATTATTAGGCAATATATCATGTGTTTTGTGGATTAATCCTGCATGTTTTGTGGATACATTTCTATAGTTTTAGAAGCCCTAGTTTCTGCTGTGTATGGTTGTAAAGGGATCACTAAAGTGGTTGTGGTTGTTGCTAAGGTGTTGTTCAAAGTGTTTTTTAGGGCATTGCTAAACTATTCTGGGCAGTGAGTGTTTTGAGAGTATGATTTAGGCCTAGATATGGATCACACAATACAAAGGAGCTATGAGTGGTTGTTAAGGCATTACTAAGTTTTTTTGGGTTAGTTGCTAGGGTGTAGTTATGTGGTTGCTAAGACATTTGGGGTAATTGCAATGCAGGTAAGGTGGTTCGGAGGTTCACTTTCCTAAATCTCAAGCACAAAGAGCTTTTTTGCACCTTTTATCTTGTGCTGGGTACACAGAGTTCTTTAGAAAAGCACAAGCTCCATGATTTGACGTTTTGAAAAACCTCTAACCCTTAATTATGAACAACAGTACTTAGCAAGCTCTTTTAATGACAGATGTTTAATCTAGCCCCAAATCCGACAGTTTACACAAGATAACAAGACAGAGTGAGGGAAAAATAGACACGTTGATGTGCTGAAACTCTTGTTAAATCAGCCGCATCACCCTCCCCCCATACAGGCAGACGAGGAGCTGGAGTAAGTGTGTGGAGGGATTTACGCTGTCACTTTCCCTTCCTCCTTCTCTCCATGGCAGCTCCTCTCTGACAGTAACACTTAGCAGGAGCGCTGCCTGTCTCTCTAGCCATAATTCATAGGAACCATACTTCCTCCAGGAGCCCAGCCCTGATACCCGCAAAGAAAGAAGAAAGTTGAAACTGCCACTGCAAAATTTAGGCATAAGAACTCGGGCTTTGCAGACCAGTCTAGAAGCTAATTGGCCTCAAATTTAGTCAGTGGTGTGACCTGAATAGGCACACAAGAAATGAGATGTGTTGAGATAAGAAGACAATCAAGTATTTACCGCAGAACACACTGTTATGGACAACTAATTTTTAGGTCAAGTGCCTCCAAACAGCATTGCATTATAAAACCCTATGCTAAAGTGTTCTCTTCACTTATATAGTGGCACTTACTAAGTAAGGTAAGTACTTAAGTACATTTCTGAAGGATGGGATTAACAATTTTCACAAAGCAGATGACAAAACTCTGGAAAAATAGTCTGTCTTTAAAAGAAGGAGCTGATTCAAATCTAGGCATTACAATAAAGAGTCTTGTAGCACCGCTCTTTTGAATTTCAGCTAGCAACTACTCAGAACGCCATAGCAACAGCTTTTTTAAGCAACTGGATCTGCAATTTTCTCCTGGTGGGCAATAAAAAGGGCTAAACAACATTCAAGAGACTGTAATATTTTCAAATGTAATAAAAAATGCTTTATTGTTGGTAACAATAAGTGGTGAGAAAAGGTGTCCAGGGGGGTGTCCGGAACACTACAATTTCTACCAGTGCAATTTCTAAGGGATTTCGCTGTTGCCATTGGATGGGAAGAGTGGTTGGCTATTGTGAGACTGCTTTTCAGTAGAAAAACAACCCGCACCACAAGAGATATAATTAGGTGATGCAGAGCAGGCCTACATCATCTGATGCACATTTTACTTTCCCATAAGACCATGAGAGAGGATTTCTAAGTTACTCCATGAAAACTATGACAGTAACATAATTGACATCTCATTCACACCAAAAATATTCATTCTGTCAGAACATTGATTTTTACTGATCATATAGTAAATCCCAAAATGAAGATCCAAAATTGCAACCACAGACTTCCAAAGTAGGAAAAACAAATACTTTTACAGGTGTCCAGCTTTCTTCAAAATATCCTAATTGTGTGGTTAAATGTAAAACCCATAGATTCAAGGATTGAAACAAGGGTGAGTAAATGATGACAATTTTCATTTTTGCATGAACTGTCCCTTTAAATCAAGCATAGTATCAACACTACCTGACAAAAGTCTTGTCACCTATCTAAATACAACAAATAATAACTTGACTTCTAGTTGATAATTTGGTATCAGAAGTGGCTTGAATGAAAGGCAAAGGTCTCTAGATATAAATCCAAAATAAAATATGATCATGCCCTTGAATTTGAATGATTTAATTAGGACAGTAAGGTCTGACTTTGCAAAAACAAAGTCTCGTTACTTAACAGAAATAATGTACAGTTTAAAATATAAAGTCATGGTGCAGTGGAAAAATAATTAATATTGTGTATGACTCCCATGAGCTTGGACGACTGCCTCAATACATCTCTATAATCACTCAAATAGCTTATTAATAAAGTCATCTGGAATGGCAAATAAAGAGTTTCTGCAGGACTCTCTGAATTCATCAAGATTCTTTGAATTCATCTTCAATGCCTCCTCCTCCATCATATCCCAGACGTGCTCAAAAACGTTCATGTCTGGTGACTGGGCTGTCCAATACTGGAGCACCTTGACCTTCTTTGCTTTCAGGAACATTAGCCCCTTTCACACATACAGACCTTTCCGGAAAATTACCGGCAATTTTCCGGAAAGGTTGTATGTGTGAACAGGCCCTTTTTGAAAATACCGGTAAATTCGTTCTGGCTATTTTCCGGAAAGAGAAATTGTAACATTACCGGTAATTTGCCGGAATGCTGCGCTGTGTGAATGCAGAAGGAAGATTGCCGTAATAAGCGCGTCCACGTCTAGAACGGGCTGACGTGAGACGTCTGCTTTAGCCAATCACAACAGTCAGACGCATTTACGTGCGCGCGGTTTATGAGAATAAAAGCCTTTGAATATTTTTTCCAGACACCTTTAGCTGCTAGATGTTAGTCAGATAATGTTTCTATGTTCCTTATTAATGCTGTGTAAATAATTATCGATAAAATGTTTATGATAATCCGTTGTTTGTTTACCTTCAAGCTTTGCGTGTGCCCGTGAGCGCCCATAGAGCCAGCACACACACATATCAAAGTGTTTCCCTATGTTTTCATTAGAGTTGTACTCAACTGATCCATCCGAAGAGTTTGTAATGTAGTCAAATGTTTACAAACACAAGCGCAGCCGTTTAGAGGTCATTTCTGGTTAATGATGTCAGAATTTACCGGCATTTTGCGATGGATGTGTGAATGCTCTTTTCCGGAAAAATTCCGTAACGTCCTCGCCTGTGTGAACAGCGCTTTTTTTTAACATACCGGTAAAGTAGTTCCGGAAATTTTCCGGATATTTACCGGTATCACTGTGTGAAAGGGGCTATTGATGCTGATGCTGATGCCATTGAGGCTGAAGTATGAGGAGCAGCGCTATCCTGCTGAAGAATTTGCCCTTTCCAGTGGTTAGTAATGTAAATGGGCAGCACAAATGTCTTGACACCTCAGGCTGTTGATATTGCCATCCACTCTTCAGATCTCTCACACGTCCCCATA